CCATGCAAAGCTGCAATCTGCACCAAGTTGTCCTATTGGTCAAAATGAGTCAAATGACATACGGTATGTCTATGTACTGCAGAGGGAGAAGCGGAAGGAATTTTTGACTGACTGTGACTGTTACTGCGCAGCAAAAGGAGGGTTAAACCACCAGTCAAACCCAAATGCTCTTTGACATTTTTCCTGGGAACCTACAGTGTACACACTAACACCAGCATTTACAACACTACGCAGGTATCTATTGCGATGGCGCAATTTTTGTACTTTTGACAAAACGGTGGCATCAAGCACCACGCAAAGTCATGGTTCGTAGCTTTGGTATTACGAGAAGGTTACAGTAGAGTCCGTGGGCTGATTATCCTTAAAAACGAAAAACTACCAAAAGGGTCCATAACGTGATAATGTTCATGTCATGACACAGCTTGTGCTTATGCATAAAAAGGTAATTGACTTTGATAGTATTCTGTCTCTGTCATATTGGTGGAGGAGAGGTCAAACTGCTGAGTTTCATTGGGAATCTGGTTTTGAATTGGCTCTGGGAACGAAGGGTTAAGACTCAACGATCAACTTTCATGTACCGGTGTACACTGATCCAGTGACTGTATACATGCATGGTGATGCAATCATGCATTCATATACCAATGCATACAACGTGAACTGATTGCAAAGGTTTGGTGAATGTAACAATTATATGTATCATACTATGCTCATTGCATTGTTGAAGAATGTTGGAACGGATGGAGGAAATCCATCCTAACTCCCTCTGAACCGACAAATGTTTCAAACTTTAGACCTAAAGTTGAGCAGTAGGTCTCTACTTTTGGTAATCCATTGAAACGCAAACAGTATGCATGAAATTTGACAGATTTAGGAGATAGTAGTCACACATTACTGCACAGAAAATGGGCTTAAATTTAAAAACATAAATTCAATAAAAAAATATAAAAACATAATGCATACAGCATTGCAGAATGCGAGCATTTAGACATCCTCCCCCCCCGCCGGTGATCTTAGGATTCATGTTCGTACATGTAAGGCCGGCAGTTATGACCTCCTGAAATCGAAGTCCCAACCCCCTGCAATATGCCGAGTTTGATTAAGTGTGCTGTTGAAAACAAACACAGCCGGCGGCGGGGCCTGCGGTTGAAAACTTTGCCCCAAGCCACATCTCAGCCAGGCACTCGCACAAACAGGGGCAGACCGTAATACGAAATGGTCCAGCTCGGGCTCGTTTCCTTCCTGGTTTTGTTTCAGCATGAAGCAGGGTCCATAATCGTCTTGGCAATTAACACTCATTACCACTGGGTACACGTGCTGTACGGGGCATGTAGCATATGCATGTGCCCACCTGATCTGACAGGGCACTGTCAAAAATTTATGAATCATTATTTATCATGCACATAATCACTCTACATGTACATCCTAATTTAATACCTTCAGAAGATATTTATTTGAAAAACAACAAACAAATAAACCTGTTAATTTTACGTTTGAATGAGCAAAACCAGGGATCAAATAGTGGTAGGAAAGGGTGAAGCTTCAGTACTGTGTGAACTTCAAATATTTCTGAAAATTCAGGTATGCCGCGGAACATTGTAACACACCTCGCTCTGTTTTTGTACACTGTACATTTACATGTTCAAATGAATTGGACCCAGGCACAGTGATTTATCTTGGTGTTCAGCGCACCGCATTCCTTCCTGGTGATAACAATTCATGTGCGTGCGTGTACATGGATGCCAAGGAGGAAGTCGAGGGGCACGTGTGTGCAATCCACACACCATAATGTGAGGGGTGTGCGATGGAGAGATCTTGACGCTCAGGATCTACGGGTTTTGCGTGGGGGCAATTCCGGTGAATCATTCTCGGAGAGGAGGCTTTTTTAAAATGATGAAGTCAGTCGAGGGAAAGTGAGAAGGACCTGCGTAGAAAAGGGAAAAAAAAAATTAAGAGACTTGTTTACGTGAAGTTGAAAAAGATGCTGCGATCCTGCCTGCAGTGTCAGGTTTTGCTGTTGCACAACTTTAAAACCATGCTTAAAAGTCTGTCTTAAGTGCAAATCTTGACGGATAAATGGTTATCACATTGTCTGCCAAAGAAAGAAAGGAAAAAAAACAAATGAAAAATTATATCGGCAGAATGGCAGCAGTGCGGCACCGAAACACTGATGGCCATCTGCCGCCTGACAACAGGACAAGGCTGTTTCGTATGAGAATGCATGCAACTCAGGCACGCGCTTATTGAACTGCGAGAGCTTTAACTGAGATATTTTGGGGAGTGAAATTAACTGCAGGTACATTTTGTGCAGCCATCAAAACCGACGTGGACGTTTGCCTTGCGGGGACCTCAATTTGTCCATTGTGCCTTTTCTTGTGTGTGCGATGGCCGATGGCATTTATTGTTAAAACAATTTGTCAGAAGGGCTTGACCGGATGAATTAATAGCCACTCGCTGCAGCATGTACGCAATGAGACAGCCACCCGGACGTGCGCCGGTCCTAAGTGCCGGCATAAATCCAGGTATTACATTCTCGATTCGGAGGCAAATTAAATTACCTCGAGGTGACGTCACACAGCTTGAGCCCTAAGGAATGAAGCGACCCTACAGAACGGCACATCTGTCAGCAACACGTTCTTAACTGCACATACACGTACATCAGCAGTAACATCCTTTATTTGTTCTCATACATGTAAAGAATGTGCAACAGAAAATCCCCTACCTCCCAAGGGTACGTGAAATTGAAATCAGGAGGATTGTAGACCATTGGGGTTAACAGTGTACGCAGGACAGAGGTATTTCTGTACCTAATGGATTGTGGTATGCTTGGATATGTAGCAGTTTTTGTGCTGCCGAGCAGCGTAACTGATATTGTTGAACTCGACATGCCTTTCTTGTGCACACTTAACCGGCATTCCTGAGAGTTTTGTCACCTTTTCTCTGGGTAGAATTGTGTAGCCAGAGGGCTTTCAAGGTCAAAACAAAGGAACCCAGGGAGGGTTGCTCTCCAGTCTAAAAATGTAGTAATTTTTAAAAAGGCAGTTCCTTTTATCAGCCTAGTTAATCAGCTCTATTTTAAACCTAACTGCCAAGCATATTGTTTGGCTTATAGTACTCAGTACTACAAAATACTAAGTAATAGCCTGAGCCTGAAGGACCTAGCACTACAAATTACTATTTCTGGCTAGGTTTCTTCCATTGTCACTCATAGTACAGAGAACAATAAAGCCATGCATTCATAGTGCCACAGCACTGTACGGTACATTGTCTTATCTATTGTATTTTATGGCTTCAGAGAACAATACGGTCATGTCCTCTTACAAGCGACAGCGCTGATTACTACAATTTACTACAAGCAGTAATTTGTAGTATTAAGTAGGGTTAGGGTTAAGCCTTATTTACACTGAAACTTAACCCTAACATAGTTCGGCATAAAATTTGGGTTGCAGTTCTCAGTCCTATGAAATACTAAGCAGTGGTCTTAGCCTGAAGGACCTACATGTAGTGCTACAGATTACTACTTCTGGCTAGGGCACCCTCCATTGTTACGCATACAGAGAACAATAAAATCGTGCAATCATAGTGCCAGAGCACTGTATGGTACATGTACATTGCCTTATCTATTGTATTTTATGGCCTCAGAGAACAATAAGGTCATGTCCTCTTACAAGCGGCAGCACTGATTACTACATGTACATTTTACTACTACTTACTGAATGACGGGTACGACAGCACTGGCCGTCGTTGCCCTTCCCACTGGCTGAGGTGCCCCACAAAAAATCTCCGTCCTCGCAGCCAGTTTTGCCTTGCCCTATATTTACCTTGGCCGTGGTGCCCTTTTCCATAAACATCCATAAAGCCTATTAAAAACACGAAACCCCGTAGTTTAAGATGCTTGCAAACTCATCGGAGGTGTACTGGAGCTGTCAGGATTAAAAAGGCTAGAACTGCCATTTTGCTACTACGTGTGATATCCTCCGGGCAGTTTTGGAGGATTTTGGAGGATTGAGACTACATGGCAAACTTGCATTGCTGATCGCGAAGGATGCGTTATCTCAAGGTTGTGGCTTAGACCTTGTGTTGTTCATGTTCAGCCATGCATAAATTCAGGCCCTCATTATGTGTGAGACCCTCCATACTCCTCCAGGATACCGTTCACGCTGCCTCAACATAATGAGAGGAATTGCCAGAGGATTTTGAAGGATCCAGGCAGTGGGCACCCTTCCACAGAATGGATTCAAGAAATATTGGAGGACTTTGGAGGATTGAGGCTGCACCTAATTTTTTTCAAAGGGGCAGTTGGAGGATTTTGAAGGATTGAGGGTGTATCCTCTGTAAAGGGCCTAGGCGGTTAGGGTCAAGACTTATTTACACTGGAACTTATAAAGGTTAGAACTTCCATTTTACTGCGCACCAAAGGGTTCCTAAAATGAGATCACACCAAATACACAATAAACATGAATGTCACCTACATGTGTGTTCATGTACAAGATTTTTGTTATCTTTCTTGCGCCGGCACATAGGTAGATGGTTCTCTCTTTGTGTAGATTTCCTTTTCATGGTGAATTCTGCCAATTTTTGTATTCTGCCTGTCACAGCGTGCTCTTTGTGTTCTGCCGACCACTTGGTTGCTCGCACTGCCGTGCAGCTGACATGTCTTGAGACCAAGTCAACAAGCCAGTCTGTTGTGGGATAATCCTGAAGAACTGCGACCGTTGTCACTGAAAACTTTTTTCAAAATGAAGTCCCCGTGAACATGGGTGTCGCCAGGATTTTTTGCAGGGGAGGGGAAGGGGAAAAGCGCTTGTCAGCAGCCAACTGACGGCCATTAGTGTTGGAAGGGGACCAATTTTAAGGTATTGTCTTTCTTTTTTGGGGGGGGGTGCCAGCGTCCTCTTCTGCCCTTTTCTCGCAATGTCCATGCTTGTGAACCCGGATTTGCAAGATTTGCATTTGTGTCTATATTATTTCCTCAGTCTTTGCTTTTTTTTTCAACTTGACAGTCCCTTATTCGTGACGTGGAAGATCGGCAAGGACAAACGACTGCGCGGCTGTATAGGAACCTTCACTGCCTTGAATCTACACGATGGCCTCAGGGAATATGCAATCTCTAGGTAAGCGGTGAGCCCATATTGCAACGTGACCAGGCTGGCTAATCGAATGTGGAGTTGACCGTTCATCATCCATTTTGATGGGTTGTTGTCAGATTTCTCTGTTAATGGTTCAGTGATGCATCTGTTACTAGGGTGGACCAGTCGTTTTACTTAGGGAATGGAAAACGATAGAGCAGTTGTAAAGTTGGATGCTGAAGACCAACTTGGTAGAGCTGCGTAAGCGCAAGATTTACATGTATTTAAGCGTGAAAAAACTGTGCTGGATAAATCTGGTTACCAACCAAAACTCCATGTGATGTACCGGTATATTGTTTGGGAATGGTGTTTAGCACTCTATTGGCTAGCATGACGGTCACATAGAGTTTGAACTGGTAAGCTTTGTTTTTTGAGCAAGGTTTTTTTGGGCTGAAGCAAATTTTGTGCTTGAGCAGCCATATGAAATTGGCCCCAGACGGATTATGTGCGGATGACAGACATTTCACTGTCGAAAATCAGGGGCCACGTTTATTTGCCATCAGGCAAGATTTATCTGTAGTTTACCGCTAGCTACATGACAGGCAATGAGCCAGACAGGGTGGCCCTACTGTCGCACATGTTTGTAGTTTGAAGTAGGTACACTGTATGTTTTGACTATAGAGGGTTTGCATGGCTGCCATCTTACAGGCCAGTGTTTTGTTCTACAAAGTATACAGAAAGGAGGTTTCTCTGTTGAACAAAAGAACTACCCTGAAAGATGGCTGACACGCAAAGCCTCTATTCTAAGTTTGACAACAATCTGTGTGGCCTACATGTAAATGCTGTTCAGTGTTGAGATTTGATAGATAAATTTTTTAGTTGTCAGTGCACAATGGTATGAAAATATGTCCTTTTTTAACATTAGTTTTGATACGGTTCTAGTCACCAATTTTCTGGTCTTTGAGATCTCAAGATGCTTCGACAAGCACAGAATTTCACGTGATATGTTTTCAAGTTTACTCAGGATGTCGTAATTGTAGATAAAATGGAGGGGGGGGTTGTGGGAAAAGTACTGCCTTCGAAGACAAGATGGGACTTTCTGAGATTTTCCCTTCTGCAAATTGATCCCAAGGCGGCCAGCACGCTTGTTTGCACGTGACGGATGTAATCTCAGTTTAGCTGGAGCCGAGATCATGATACCGGCTGCCGCCGTCGTAAATCACTGCCATGCGTGTTAGAAACTTTTGAAACCGGGCAGTTAGTATCAACATGCTGTAGGTGAGAATATTCCAACGACTTGCAGGAATTTAGGTGTGTCTGGATACATTGTGATGTGATCTCAGCAACAGACGACAGACGTGTACAGTGTCCTGACGGATAAGGGTTTTTTTGGTGTGTAATTGAGCCGTAGATTCTAGGCATCTTTAACCCTAACCTTCCCCAACCACACAGAATTAAACAGTAGTAAAGTTATTAATTCTTTGGGGATAGGTCTGGTAGGCCCATAACACTAACAGGCGGCTTTTGCATTGGGTTTGGCATACCTCAGAAAAACAAAGTCCAACAGCCTCTGTGCACAAAGTCCCATATTGGTGTTTAACTTTGTGTGAATGGGAAAGATTAGGGCCAGCAACCCTTGGGGGGTTAGGGTTAAAGAGTTACAGTATTGTTCTTACTTTTTTGTGGTGTTTCATGCAGGATTACCCTTGATTCTACATTGCAGACGGAAGTTGACACTGTAAATTGGGATGGGAAAAAATTCCATGTCCCATTCACATTTTCACAGGGTGTAAAAAGAACGTCCCACTTGTTTGAAACGGCGTGAAAATCTTTTCCCACTCTGTAAAAATGTGTGAAAACCTTTTCCCACTTTGGGAAAATCTGTGAAAATCTTTTCCCGCTTGCGGGGAAACCTGTGAAAATCTTTTCCCTCTTTGCTACAAGTTTTTTTCATGTTTTCCGAAATGAAAATGAATGCCGTGGTAAGATGAAAAGTACGAAGAGAATATTTTGTTCCAAGGCAAACGTTTATTTACAGTGTATTGTACATGCACATGTAACTCCCCAGGCTATTCAACATCATAATAGGAAGATTTGGTCCTGTGGTAAAAAGGCTTAAACATCTTTGTATGTCATTTTTTCTGTTGTCGTTTTAAGAACAGTTTGAGTTTACTTTGTTTCATGTTCAAGCTTGCCTCTCATTTTGAAGTCCTGTCTTTAAGATTAGCCAAAAATAGTCTTCAGCTACTGAAAGTGTGTGTGGGGGGAGGGGGGTGGTATTGTATGCCCATTTGGGAAAGTTGCTGCAGTGTAAAGTCGGGATTGCTTGAGACTGCCCACTCAATGTTTTGTCCAAGTTGAAATATTACTCCACCCTCCCGTACATGTAGCCCCAATTCTTGGACCACCCAGTTAAACCAACCCAAATCCTCCCGGCCATGTTGTGCAGGAAATTAATGACACATTCCTCATGCCTCAACACTTGAGAGGGCCACCGTGCTCCTTTTACAAAAGTGAGAGTGGCACGGCTGGGGCTTCCTCAATCCCGCACAATCCACCGACACTACAGTACCTCATGGATTTTGAAAGATCCTGGTACGATGGGAAATTAATCAGGGGGGGGGGAAACCTGGCGTTGGCATCGCTCAAGATGACTCCAGTCTTAAAAATGCCAACTCCAGTAGAAGTGGGGAAAAAAAAGGACGTTCGCCCTGTGTGCAGTGACCTTTAGCTTCCTGTCGAGAGTGCTCTGGGAGCCCCAGGTGTCATTCAGCTCTAATGGAGTCTTCCCGTTATCCAGTTAGCCATATCTGATCGTGCATGAAAGTTCTAAATTCCTGGTAATAAATGGCCAGCGATCAATGCAAGCCACCTGGCACTCGTGGACTGTGGCCGTGATGTCATTAACATGAATGACTCTGGGAACTGTTTCTAGAAGTAATCCAGTGGTTGAGTCACTCCGATTTGGCCGTTAATCGTGGCTACCCGTAGCTCTGCCGTCAGGCAATCAGAAATCCCCCAGATGTACTGGTACTGGGAATGTATGCAAATTGTGCCGTGCTCGTCAGAAGGGAAATTTTATCGTGAGGCATAACACTCATGACAAAAAGAGTTTTATAAATTCAAGCTTGAGAAGGAGGTAAAAAAAAAATCGCGGAAAATTATGTAGAATTAAAATTGCTGCAAGCACGAAATTTTGGAATATTGAAGTGCATCAGTGGTAACCTTTGACAATGTCATTAAACTTAAATCAGTGGGGGCTGTAAAAAAAAAGAAGATTTTTTAATTATTTCGTAACACATTTCACATACTTTTCGGCAAGCAAAAACATGTTACCAGCTGAAAATTCCATGTTAATTGTGTGCTTTGTATCTCGCTTGACTGGTTCCCAGCTCAGTGTTCTGAGGCTATGAATTTGGCAGGGAACAGTGTGTGTGTGTGCTGGAAAAGTCCTTACAATGCGGCTCTGTTGGAATAGAATAATTCATGCATACTAGTATGTCTATAACGAGTGAACGCAAGCACTCCAAAATTACTGATTTCTGAAAAGCAACCATTTTTCCGGATACTGGCGACGACGCGGCTTTTCCCGCAACGAATGTTGTACCACTTCTTTCCCCCCCCCCACATTTTTTCGCAGAAGCAGATTACAACCGATATTTGACACTGATTAATGAAAGGTCATCTTGCTATCTCTCCTATCACCTTTTTTCTCTGTTTCTCTCCCTTCTTTGCAGTGCATTTAAGGATAGTCGTTTCCCGCCTGTCAATAAGGATGAGATCTCCCGTATGTCCTGCTCCGTCTCCTTGCTACGTCACTTTGAGGAGGCCCGAGACTACGAAGATTGGGAGGTATTTATCGCTGGCCCGACTCGTTGCTCAAGGATTTCCTGTCCCTCTCTCCCTCTATCTCTCCTTTTTGTTTTAAATTTCAAGCAGTTGTATCAACAGTCTCGGCTCGCCTTGCATGAGGAGATTATTCCTCGGTAACCGATACACTCAGTCATCCTGAAAGCGCTTGGAATGGCGCTGTGTTTGTCAAGTCGTGACGGTTAATTCCCAAGTAATGTATTGAAAAAGATGATTTGTTTAGGGAAGCGGTTTTTGCACACTGCCGTATCGAATCGGGAAACAGCCAAACGGTCCATTGGATGAGACTGGTTGTAGTGAACAAATCTTACATTTATTTTCATGCTTAGGATTGTGCTTTTTGTCTCAAATTGTTACAGTCGATATTCAAGGAGTCTATTAGAAAAGACAAATTGAAGAGAATAAATTTATAGTGACCCTGTTGAATCCAGGAAGATCAAACAGACATTTCTACAGGAATGAGAGTGACTTTCCCTTACTTATTTATCTCTTGCTGGACACGTATAGATGCAACAGGTTTCACACACTCGGCAGTTGTTACTCTGTAATAACACACTGACTGCCGTGCATAATTTCACAGGGTCACAGGGCATTCTCATACTCCAAAGGTACTTTTTCAGTGCCACTTTGTTATAACTTCATAATGGTGATGTCCGTGTATTCAATGTACAATACAAAACCTTTCACTTTCTATGAGTGTACTCATTACGGCACTGACTGGTACACCAGTTTCTGTGAGTGAACTTGTAGTCGGCAGTGGAGGCTTCAACAGGTCCAGCAAGGCATCTGTTGCACACCTGAAGCTTGTTGAACAAGTGGCCAGCTCTTGATGTGATGCACGGCATCTGACGCCCAAGAAAATCAAATTTTTAACGAGGAATATTGTTTTTCTTCAATAATATTGTCTCAGGTGGGCGTCCATGGTATTCGCATAGAATTTTACAATGAAAAGGGAGTGAAGAAGACGGCTACTTACCTTCCAGAGGTAGCCCTGGAGCAGAGTAAGTGTCCCGCTTGAATAAGACCGGGCTAGAAATGACACGTGCATTACGGGGAAATGCACGAGTCCGCTGGCAAGCGGCTTCAGCTCAGTCGCGCGTGTTATTGCAAGCTGCAGCTGTGTCGTTCAGACACAGCCTTGCGGGGGTTTGAAGCCACAAGCGGCCTGCAAAAGAGCCGCAACTTTCCTTGCATCCACTCTCTTTTGGGCAGAATTTGTCCTGTTTGAAACAAAGCAACCCGAGCAAGACCATGCCTTGCTTTCGATTGCCGAAAAATTGCATCGATGCTTAACTAGTATGTTGTCAAATATGCTTTATGGAAAAACGGATTCACCCTGGCATCTACTCTTTTACATGGAGGGAGGACAAAGCACCGTCTATGTGCAGTACGTGCATGCCACTTGGCAGGCAAAATGGGGACACTGATTGGTGCCACCACCCTCTGAAGCGGTATTTAGTCAATATAAGTTTCATTATTGCCTACTGCATGATCCATACCTTTCACAGTAAGTTTGTTTTAACACAAATAGGTGCATGTTCAGATTCCTTTTTTTTTTTGCCTTATGCAATCTTTCTACCTTGAGTCAAAGTGCACCCTCACCGGCAAAGACGAGACGGGTTGGTGGGAAGTTCCTCACCCAAGCTTGTGCATGCGCCCGGTGCAGGCGCGATGACAGTACAATTCAAACAGAAATGGGTCACGCGTGCTCCGTATTCTTGCAACAAGCGAGCGTAAACCTGTGCTCGCGCGACGAGTTTCCACCGAAGGACCGTTGTTGCTAGTGTGAATACCACGCCCTCTCTTGTTCCCGCTCAGAGCGTATAACTTCAGATACCTTAACGTTTCTTCATTGGAATGTTTTTCATTCTCCCCTCCCCCCTTCCACTCTGCGGCAGATTGGAACAAGGAGCAGACGATAGACTCGCTCCTGCGCAAGGGGGGCTACAAGGTCCCCATCACCAACGACTTCCGCAAGACGATACGGGTGACCCGCTACCAGAGCGAGAAGATCTCGGTCAACTTCAGCGATTACGCCGAGCACTTTCGGCAGAACGGGCGGGTTTAATGAATGGCAGCCACAAGCGCAAACTCACTGGGGGAGGAGGGGCCTGAAGCACGTCTGGACGGCGATCGTAATCCTCGTCGTCGTCTTTGCTATTTATTTTTTCAACTGATCCTTTTGTTCTTTTTTTGTTTGTTTGTTTTATTTCCCGTAATTCAAGCACATCTGTTTTTAAACCTGTGTTGCCCTGAAGGCCGGTTCATACATGGCACGAGCGCAAACACAGCTGTGACATTGTGACGTCTGATCAACATTTGTGCTGCGTATTCTGAAAAGTTGAACATGTTTCAACCCGTGCATTTTAGCTGCGTATATTTTGGAACTGCAAATTTGGTTTGCTCTCCCATTCACTTGAATAATGAATCGGCCTCATGTGCGTCAGCTCGAATGCAAGTTCGAATTTATGACGTGGCCAGCAGCCGTGCTACAAATTGGCAAAGTTGAACTCTCACCAAATTTGCCGCACCTATTTATTGACGTCAAAATTATTCCTGCATTCGTGCGAAGCATGAACTGGCCTTGAATGGGTTATGCCCATGTGTTCTTAGAAGTGTGTGCACATTTCAAAATGCAGAGAATGTGCTAGCGTAACAAGGGAACAACACAGTGAAAAAAAAAAGTTCACCCCATTCAAATTTGGCACACTTTTGGTGTGAAGTTTGAACCGCGAGGTATATCTTTACCAGTGTGCTACCACGTTGTGTAAGTGAACATGTTCAAGCTGTTTGATGCACTTATTTTGCTGATGACAGTGCTGTTTTGAAGCCAAAAGTGACAAATAGCTACGTCTTTTCAAGATTTAGTTGCTTCGTTCCACAATTCACAACAGCTCACTCTTTCGTTTTCTATTTGTGACCCGCTCCAGGAAAAGGTGATATAAGTCGCACCATGCATTTACAAGCAATGATCGGCTCAACGTTGGATTAAAAAATTCCTTTTTTTTCCGACAAAATCATTGAAAATACTAATTTCTTAGTCCATGTGCGAATTTTGAAGGTGGTTGTAACAGAAGAACATGTTGGTGGCAAAGTAAGATTTAAATGCCTACAACCCACATCAGAGCCAGATATTTCAAAGCCTGTTTTCTAGGTTTTGCAATTTCGATTTCCTGGAACTAATTAATATGCAAATGTGTCATAACTCCGGAACAGGAAAGGCGACGGAACTCTATCATATACCAAATGAAAGCTTACAATTTTGGCTTTCCAGTCGCGTATGTAACTTGATTTTTTTTTTTTTTTTTTGCAACTTATATCACCTTTTCCTGAAGCGGGTCATATTTGGAATATTTGGGAAGATGTTCTTAGCTGGGAATTTATTTTCTGTCAAAGGAGACATGTTTCTCACCGTTGAATTTTGGAGCGGTTTTATTTTGACATGTGCCCCTTTCCCCCCAAGTTTGCGATTGTGGCTGATGTCAGAAGTCTTGTCGAACACCCAGGGATAATGTAAGAAATTATTCAAGAAATGAACTATAAAGGCACAATTCCACGATACTCTGTTTTTTATACGGAAGTTATATTAAGAGCATAATTCATTTTTGATAAGTTAGTTTTTAAAAGAGAATTTCTAGTCTAGGAGAGTCGGGCAGCGACAGAGATCGGGAAGCTGCGTTTGAGACTTGCAAATAGTGTGTGCACTGGTTACGTTCCTCTGAGAGGAACGGAAATATGGAACACTGTAGATATAGTGGGGGTGGGGTTAGGGATATCGGGGGAGGGGAGGAGGTACTGTGCTACTGGTAGATCAGTGCCTGTAAGTATGTGATCAATGCGTTAGATGTGTTACTGTGTTCTCACTTGTAACATTGGTGCGGTTTTATAGACACTTGTCATACCACAAAAGTCTCAAGCTCTGTGAGTTGAAATCTTGATTATTGGGGGTTGGCAGCGGGCTTGTGGCTTTGGCCAAGTCCGAGATTCGTGGCTGTGACTCGGGTTTCATGCCACTGATGTGCTATCCATAGCCGTAAAGAAAACATTGCTAGAGTCTGTCGCTAGTCAGACTGGATGCAAGACACCATGACAGATACAAGGGCCAAAGTCTGCCCCTGGTAGTTCATAAGTAAGCATCTATACGTAGGGCCTGAAAAGGATTGTGGTTATTTTGATTTTGTTTGGGTTTCCTGTCTCGTGGTGAGTCGGTGGGTTTTTTTGAGGTAGACGTAGATAGAAACCAGATGAATGTGAATGAATTGAGGATTTGTTGATGGAAGCATCTGTCAAATAATGTACTTTAAAGAGGCGATGGGTTGAAAGGTGGGGAAATGTTCTGCGTCCCAAATTCTGAGAATTCTGCAACTCAGGTGACTTTGTTAGAAGTACATCCAACAATGAAGTCTTTTGTATGTTAGCGCGCAAGCCACTTTTCCCATGGTTTCTGATATCCTAATGCTGAACGCAAAGGAATCAGTGATGATACTGTCCTTGACCAAGGCTGGCTTTCTTCACGGCTGGACTTACACGTAGCTATCCAACTGTATGAACACAGCTACTCTCTGGCCACCAGCAGTTCATGTGTCAAAAAGATCAGTCTGCCTCCAACAAGGTTATAAAACAAAACAGGAAGGAATCTTTGTCCTGGGAAGGCTTCATCACAGATCGCTGTTGCATTGATTATGTTAGTAAAGTAGACAAGTATAGAAATTTCATTGTGGACGGGTCTTCTACGTATTGTATTTTGTATTGATGTTCTTTGGTCTGGTATTGATGTTCTTTGGTCAAAGTCCCACTTTTGAAAGGGAAAGAAAGTCGTCTTTTTGCTCTCTAAACGTTCCATTTAAACCACTCGAAGAGATCACGTTTTTCGGTCTTGTGAGGCTGCCTTGAATGTGTTGGCAACTTTTTCGTTGACGAGGTAACGTAACTCTAGCAAACGAGGCAGCCGAGGAGTTTTTCTCCTGGTCGGAGTATAGTGATTTCGCTTTCACACTGTTCTCGGCCCGGCATCGCATCTCACGCGACTCGCATCCCGCACTTAATGATGACAAGTCGAGTTGCACTATGGAGGGAAAGAAGAAGTGGACACTCCTGTACGAGGGCCGCAGCCCGAGGGGAAAAAAAATGAAAAAGAGAAAAAAAAATTAATAAAGTTAGCAATTTTCTAAATGTCCTTAGACTTAACTCTAATGTGTCATTGATGATAGGGCACTCAAAGAAAAAAAAAGTAGACTTAAAAGGGGGGTGGTTGTACCAGAGTCAAGTGCTGCAGGTCTGTCAGCCGCTGTTCTCATGTGTCGATGGGCACCACGCACCACCCACTTGCGTAAAGGGACCAATAACATTTTTTTGAGGAGTGATTTGTTCCCGGTGAGTGTGTAGTTCCTTCTTCTCTTTAACTACATGTAACTTGATCCGGATGTCGGTGTCGGCACTTGCAATGGGCCTTTTGTTCAGGTCACACATCTGTCGGCAGTTTGCAAGGAGACATGACAAACTGACTTTACGAGCAGTGCCTGAGATCACAAACACATCAAAACCTGGTCGTGGAAGCGTTATATTCAAATTTGTCGACTGCGCGATTTTTTTTTTTAATAATATGTAACGCTGTCTTGTTTTTATTGGGCATTTTGCGTGTTTTATTTCTTCACTATGTAACAACACTGTATGTAGCATGTTTTAAAGATTCTGTTTTACATTGTACGAAGATTAGTCAGTCGCGCAGACAAGGCAAAACAAAAACATAATGTTGGCACTACTACGGTGTAACTGTTGTAGGGTTGTGCAAGTTTTAAATATGCATTGATTTTTTTTTCTCAAGTAAATACTTCCATTATTTTATTTGTGTTAGCAACCATTTTTTGCCAAATTGATAGGATGCAGTTGACTGAAGCCTAGATCCTGACTAACCTGGGCCAAGAGCGTACCGGTGGTCTGTGGCGGTTACCTTTTTATCAGGTGGGGGAAAGAGAGGAAATTCATTCGATACCACAGCTGTGCGGTCCATCCTGTGCGCCGAGCAAAGAGTTGGGGAGGAGGGTAGATTTTACAGAGTCGCCGTAGCTGGAAGCTTGACGAGTATTGAAACAAACCTTTGCTTGGCACAAATAGTGCTCCGGTCAAAGTATCATGCAAGGCGCATTGCTTTTCACCGGTTCTCAGTCAACTCGTGCTGGTTCTCGGTAAACTTTTGCTGAATGCACAACTGTGCTAAGCAATGATTGCTTCTCAGTGGTTTCCGTGAAACTTGGCCCCCCCTGGCTGAGAGAACTGTAGTGTTTTGGCTGTCTTCAAGGTAGCCGAGTCATGGACCCACAATTTTGGGGCTTTTGTTGTAAAAAGCCCCAACTGTAAAAAGTGGGCATCAGTATTGCGATCAAGAGACACAAGTTTGGCACGGACAACATCTGTGAGCAGTCGGTCGTGCCCAATTTGACTGGATGTCGACACGGCGCCATTAAGATCTCCAAAAATCCCAATTCTTTTTCCCCCTGGAAAACTTATTTACAGTCCCAGCTGATTGGACTTTATCACAGGTTCTGCAGTTGGACTCTTGAATACAAGGGAAATCGTTTGCATATTAAAAAAAAAAATGTTCGGCGTTGCTCACTCCGTGTAATTGGAAAACTTTAACAAATAATATAAGGCCTTCCTTTTTTCCTGAATCTTTTTCTCTGTTCTTGTCTAGTGCAAATTAGCCTTTTCATTGGTTCCCAGAGATCAGTTAACTGTGTACAATGGTGTTGGACAAAATACAGTGAAGGGACTTGAGTGTTAGGATGTTGTATATGTCAGTAGGACAGATCTGCAATTTCATGGATTTGTATTTAGAAATAAAGATCATGATCCCAGAATCAAACTTTTCTGAACTGGTGTCTTGAGCTTATTACTGGTGTGGAAAATGTCAACTATTGTGTATCCATTTGGAATAAAGAAATAAGGCATTTTTGAGTTTCCAAATCAGTGTTAGATCCTTGGGGAACATTCAGGTCCCGTTTGTTTCACACGGATCTGGATCTCGATCAGTGGTCCCAAAGCCGGTTCACTCCATCCGTTTGACGGGTTCAGGTGTCAGCAGACCGACGACAGATAGCTGTGATTCAATCCACAGTAGAAAGGCAGGGCAATATTGTGACAAAATACCTTGCTTATGGACACAAGCAGCACACCCCTGCTCTGCCCTCGACTGGTAGAAATTACCTTAAAAATCTCGCGTTTTACACGACAGACTAAGCCTCCTGGGAAGCATGTGGGTCTTCTACACAACAAAAAATTAAACAAGAGAGGGTTTTGTAACAAACAACGGAAATGCTTTATTTACATTACTTGTAAACAATACTTCTGTTTTGAGTGGAAAGCCTAGACCAATTTGACACAATTTCGGTGATAAATTCATTGAAATTTCTGAGATTTTTTGGATGCTTTTCCAATATCAGCATTTAGTTTTTCCACATTTGATATTTGGGGTTTATTGGAGAATTTGGTATAAAAAGAATTTGGTATGAAATGACTATTCCACTATTAGTAACAAAATAACATTCCTCGTTAAACATCTAGCCTTTCTGCCGGTACACAAGCAGTCCAAGTCCAATGTACCCAACCCTCGTGACAGGTATCAGCTGTGTGTTTGAAGCCTTGCAAGTACTGTCCAATGATCCAGGTCCTTTTTTGAAATCTAATCGACTGAAACATCTGGGAACAAGACAGGGATTTATTCCAAGAAGCTAACTTCTTCAAGGACTAGGGAGGCAGGAAAAAAAAGGCCAATGTGGAGACACTGTAAGAGGAATGGCGAGTGAGGAGTGGCTAGTGATCGGGTTCCATTTCAGCATCGGCATCTGCAAACTGTCCCGTGTCCATGGCCTCTTCCTGTGCTCCGGAATCTAACCACGTGGACAAGAAGAAAACAGGGGTCCACATCGAGCTTGAAATATGTTGATATTACATTTGTATAATGGACCAGCAGTGAGGGCGACAGTTACTGTCTAGAGCCCGGGGGATTGTAACTGACAAGAGGCAAAGCCCCGCTTACCGAGCCTCAAGGCACATTTTTCCCCTCTGTCCTTCCGGCCTCTCTGCCACAATGTAATTTAAGGGCAGTCCTTACTTGACCAGTTGCACATTAGCGCAACCAAATGTGACCCATTACCTAAAGTTACTTATGAAGAAGTTAGAGCATGGAGACAAATAACACAACTCTCCTTAGGCATCTTGCGATTGGTACTCGGTAATAGTTCGTTTAACATGGCAAGGAACCATTGAGAAAGGTGGAAGTGCAACCCCTCAATTGCCTGTATCTACCAATGGACTGACAATACAAGACAGGAATTTAGGGTCAATTTTAAGAGCAAAAACAGAGTCATTAAGGAAAAACTACGTCATACTCACTTTGGAGCGGGCTACCAAATATCAAAGGGTCTGGTCCTTGTATTTGAGTCCACGGTAAAAAAAATGGTCGAACCCAATAAGCCTTTGCCGAGTTAAATTTGAACAAAATCTGGTGCACTGTATTCTTTAAATTCACATGAACATTACAATTTGAATTCTCCATACTAAAGACACTGTTGCTATATCTCGTGATTCCGTACAAGGGTTTCCTTAGTTACTTAAGAGACGCCTTGCCTCAATACACTGTTTTCAACGGATAAGATGGTAACAAAGGAACCAGTCTATTCCAGAGATGGTGGTCGCAATGCGAAAGCTTCCCCGAATCACGAGGTATAGCAACAGTGTCTTTAGTCTGGGGAATTCAAATTGCTATGTTTATGTGCAATCAGATAACTCAGTGTACCAGATTTTATTCACATTCAACTCACAAAAGGCTTATTCATTCTCACCTGCTAACTGTGAAGCCGTCTTGATCACACCGCTGCCTACATGCCCATTCAGACTGGCACTTGCTTGTCCCTGTGTGTCTTGACCTGCGACCTCACTGACCCTTGACCCCTCCACACCCTCTGCTCCTTCCTCCAAGTCTGAACCCTCCTCTGCATCCTCTGGGTGAGAAAAGAAGAGAGATTCAAACATGGCAGCTGAGGTTGGAGATGTCACAGCTTTGAATCAGGGACAGAGAACAGAGTATGTTTTTGACGACAAATTTTGGGAGGAGACCTTGACCTCATACCAAATTCGTCTCCGTAGTCCTCATCTGAAGGTTCTGAGTCGTCTGGATCGGGATGAAGTGTCTGGCAACTGGACATCGCTGAAAACATCTGCTCCACTGAAAAAGGGAAAGAACAAATTACGGAATACACCAGCACAGTTTGGGCTACCAACGTTGAGGTTGACACTCCACAAAATTTGGCCCCCGAGTCCCTTTTTTTGCAAGAATCTCTCCACGTTCTCCAAAAAACCTCCACGGAGTAGAAACACTATGACATTCTATGTGCTGAAATTTTCAAGCTTACTTTCAGACTTTCAACACATCGTGGATTGTAATCGCGGTGAGTTCAGGGGCCACGCCCCAGTATTGTAAAGGCAGGAAGTTCCCGAAAGGAACACTGCGTGAGCCACGAGTTACAAAATATCTGGCCCTTAATCATTTTTCTGAACACTGCCTGTGGTAACTCTTCCATCAGTGCTGATAAGCCTGCATTGATCTCGTGCACAAATTCCTCCATAAAGCTTGGGCATTAGGCATTTTTGGAATCTTGTGCTCGGAACTAGGTCTGGGTCACTGCCAGTTGCAAATACTTGACGCTTGTTGACGACGGACACGGCCGCAGCCCTGGACATTGCCGGAAGCTCGTTCGGACGAGACCTCACCTTCCGAAACCATGCTCATTTCACCTTGAGCTGCCAGTGGATTGTGAAGGACCTGGGAAAGTATCAGGTCACACTAATTGTAAAATGCCTATCACATGTGAGCTTACACGCTTGTTTGTCGTCGGGGATAAATCTGAACTCCCTGATCGCCCCATCTACGTCTTCCTCTGTTCCGTCTTCGTTGTTGTCTCCTGCCCCTCCGCTGTCTCGGAAACTTGGGATCTGCAGGGGTAAAACGAATTCAAGAAAGTCTGAGAACATGACAAGGTCACTGGGATGCCAGTTTTCTAATGAAAACCTTCAAAAGGCACCTGTGTCTCCGTTAACCTCATTTGCAATGTCTGTGTTACTATTTTAAGAAGCACTTTTTTTTTAATCCAGGGAGAAATGCCAATAATGTATTGGTTTGTGCACGAAAAACTGCTGAACTTTTTAAAAAAAAAATATTGCTAGTCCGAGCTCTTTTTTTAATTGATTATTGTTGTTGATGGCCAGTGCTCAACCCTTGTTCGGAAATGTTTTCTGTGAGTAAAGTCTTGGTTCCCAATTTCAACAGAAAACCCAATGTACTGAACCACGTCTTCCCTGGATGACTTCTCAGCAACAGCGCCCTCTATCATCCAGAAAAGCATGGACAATTTTGAATGTTAAAAGAAGGGCACTTTTTAACACTTTTAACTCAGAAGGAATGTCAGATAGCTTACACACATTTAAGAATCTAAAGCCGGAGAAAGAGTGCATTTTTGAAAAATTCACTGCTGCCACCCTTTAAAATGACTGGAATAGTCTTGTGATGGGCATTCAAGGACCTGTGTGCAATGCCCATGGCTATGACACTGCTCCTGGACAAAGACAAAGATTTTCAAGTGCAGAAATCGGAAAAGTGCCGAGTTCCTGCCGGAGTCTCACGTTGAAAGGTGACACATCGCCCTCAATGGTCCAGCCACAGGGCTGATGACGTGAACTTTACCTGCAGTATTTCCGGCATGACGGCTGCATCGATCATGAGGTAGAGACACTCGTGGGGGAAGGCAGTCAGATCCCTGGACACGGCATGTAGTGAGATAGCCGGGTAGGGTACCTTCAGACCTTGTCCGGTTGCATTGATCCACGCTACGCAGCTTAAGGCAAAGGAAAATGCATTTACGCATATATGACTTAGGTTTCATGAACGGAATTTGAAGATTTCAGTCTATCGGCGGACACACTGGGGAAAGTTCCAGCGCGTGGCTGACTGTGCAAGATCATTGATTTACAAATACATGCTCAGTAACCATGGTAACTGGCCTTTTTCCCAAGAGATTGAGGGAAACAGGGAAATGCGGAATTGACAGGTACCGTTGTATTAGGATTCCTACTTGGCTTCATGGTCATGCTTGTCGCTGAACATCAATTGGAAAAAACTCCAACATATGGACTCCGCTTAACACCATGTGCACAAACCTTAAGCAGTGAAGTATGTTTTTTTTTAATGAATAGACTTTTTAGGATATTTATTGCTGTCAGGTGGTCACTGCCGGGAAAAACATCAGTGCACAGTGACGTCCATATGATATTCTTTTCCTTCAGTTCAGAAATTCAGAACCTGATCAAATTCACAAACATGACAAATTAATCCTGCAAATTGGGTATAACAAAATGGAGTTTCATATACCAATATCTACACAAATTCTATGAGACTCGCTTGAAAATTTCAGTTTTTCAAACTTGTAGGCCTAACACTTAGTAGGCCTAAATTAGCATGATTAGTAAATACCTTTTTATCTGCACATTTTGCAAGGAAAAACTAGTCCGGTGTCCGCATATAGAGCTTTTCCCACCACCCCAAAAAACATTACATTAACGTGATTAACCTTTTGAGTTTGACTAATTCAACTGTAGCCTACTTCGAATTAAAACAGAACTAAAAAAAAAACTGATCATCCGAACCGTAACGTATACAAAACGAACGAGACCTCGGGGGCTCTGAACGCAACTAACGTTAAACATGTGCACTGTATCATGCACGGTACGGTTCAGACTTCAGACATTGACAGTCGAACAATAAATTTTCAACTACCTCTCAGCGATGAACAGAGAGCCTTTCCCCAGATTTTCTCGCTCCACATGGAGGAGGACGTTGTTCTGCTGGTGTTTCAATCCCTCAACAGGTGGGTGGATGGGCGCAAGAAGCGACATTTTAAACAGCGTTTTGCGGTCGCCACTGTAGGACAATGTGCGATGTCAACTGAAATTCTCGTACATAAAACAGCCGCTCACGTATATCACAAGTTCAATGAATGAAACAAAACGGCCGTAGAGGTATGATTAACATCTTGGCGGCGCCCTTTACATCGCCCGTTAAATTTATGAGCTGAGCAGGTACAGTACTTATGCATAAAAATAATAATACATGGTGTGTTTGGGGCGGATATCGGCGCGGCAGAAAAGCCAGGACTCAGGACACACACAAGCGCCGGGGCATGTCTGGCGTGATGGAACAATCATGATTTCCTCTTTCCTTTAGTCGTAGAAGATTTACCTTCTACTGGTTCTAGAGATCGTCGGCATTTATCGGTAAGGAATATATTTATAGGAGGCCGTCCTTAATGATTCAGGGTACACCAACGTGTCCTCCTGGCCTAGCTGCGTCAGTACTACTACTTGTACTAGGCCTACGTGAGATTTCCTTAATTTATGCTGTCAAGTGTCAGTCAAGTTTTAAAGGCCTACTCATTTGGGAAAGGCACCACCTTGCTAGTTTGTGTGCAAATTTCATGGGGTTTAAAACTATAAATAAAAACTAAAAAAAGATTACCCTAAAATTGAATAGTTAAAAATGTGTCATCTCTTCTGAGTTTTGGTCCCAAATTCTACACAAGTTCGTCAAAAAATAATTTAGCACGATCTAAATTGCAAGAAATAAAACATAAAAATAATTCAGGAGAATCTATGGTATCTGTACCATTTATTTATGGCAAGAATTAATATTTTTTATTTTTGATGGGTTTTCCTATCCCTAAAACTCAAAGGAATCGTAAGTAAAATTTATAATTCATTTCACTCTTTGCCTTGTGATGGTTATAAATTAATGGTATAATGTATTTACATGTAACTAATGAGACTTTGTGTGTCTTTCTCTTTGTAAGTCACATCAGGTCCTACAATGGCTACCCTAGGCAGTTACCTCCAGCCGTCCACATGGCAGCTCGAGTGGGTATGCCACGGGGTGGACCCAAAATTCCCCGGCAATGGGGGGCCTGAGTGCGCCCGGTTCCTGGACCCTGTCCAGCGTCTCCTAGAGACGGTCCTGGTATTGACCGTCTGCTTCGTGGAGATGCGGCTGACCTGGCCCCGGCTGGACCTGCCGCCCAGCGTGCTGGAGGCCGTGGAGCGTCACCGGCGGTCGGGCCGGGGGGAGGCAGGCAAACGGGTGCTGCTGGTGGTGCTTTGCCTGGTGTTTGGAGTGGAGCTGGGTCTGAAATTTGCCACAAAGACTTTCATCTACATGATGAACCCTTGCCATGTACTTACTCTTGTACAGGTAGGTGTGATATGATACAGGGTGGGGAAGGAGGAGCTAAGCCAATGGAGGAGGCGGGGGTATTTGTTCCGTCCCTCACAATCTTTGTATAACTTTGCATTGGACCGATGCTTCTCCATTTACAGCTTGGGCTGTAAACATAATTCTTCAACTTGTCTGATAATCCCCATCAGTCGATCTTCCAAATCGTTGGGTATTTGCCATAGTTGCTGCGTTCAATTTCAAACGCTCTCCATGGCTGATTTAAAAAAAGGAAACAACCCTGAGAAAGGTCACAGTAATAACAAGAACAAAGAAAGTGACTGTAGTTAGATTTTGCTCACAGACTACCAATTTCTTTGTTCGGTCTTTTTTCAACAACAAACATTTTTCCTCTCGGGAGTCTCACTACATACGCTTGCTCGTTTGAGCTCACCTGGGTTGGACTTCACACCAGTAGTTTCTTAATCGGGTAGCGACCTCACGTGGGCACTGAGGTGCATTGGTGCTGGTGAGGCAGCTTTGGCCAATCAAAACATTAAACAGGCTCCTTTTTTTTTCAGGCATGGCTTGTTCCATGTTTCAGGTTCTGTTTTTTCTGGACTAACGAACTGTTCAGTTTCACGAACGTACATGTAGATCTGAAACCTCAAAAAAATGCATCGTAAGAAACTCATGGACGTTTGCGATGCCCACCTTTCCCAGATAATAAATACACGCACATGCTCAATATGGGTGGTAACTACAATTGTTATTGCCAGTAATGACTACCTTGCTGAACAAAACTAGATCAAGCAAGGGGCCATCGCAGGGTATCAGTGTGTAAATTCCACTCTTTTTCAGTCCAAAATTGGGATGGGTGGAAGGGTCATTGAGGGTAATGAAATTCAGAATAACTTCTCCGTTAACATTGTGCGCATAATGTGCATTTATATCAAATAGTAGGGTCGTTTTTTCGAGGTTAAAAATCAGGAATGAAAATGAGGAAAAATACGGGAGTTTTGAAAATCGTTGACTCCAAACTTAAATAAATTAAAGATTATAGATCATTGTCAGATAACTGTAGCTATCCTTGACCTGTGATTGGCAAAGGGGAAATATTTTAGGGACAAGTCTGCAAACGAAATTATTGAGAGTCTCAGTTTCCTTATTTGAAAAGAGAGAAACCTTTCCAATGTAGTCCATTTTCTGTCATAATGTTGTAGAAAGCATAATTTCACCGTGCAAAAAGATAAAAAGATGACCCCATAAGTCATTTTCTGAACAATCATCATGTTTGTCCCTGAAAAAGTTTTCCCGCACTTGACATTTTGGCCCCTACGTGATCACTTGATATCCCAAAGCTGATGTTGTCATGGATACTTTATATACACACATATACATGTACATGTACATGCAGCTGGCTGTAGACGTGTACATGTATGTACACTTGTGTACATGCGGACTGTTTACGTCAGATGTGACTGTAGAGTGTTTTAACCCAAGGGGAAAAAATTCTGCAGATGTGTCATGGAGCCTTCACAACAAGTCCATACATGTAACAGATTTTGTTAATGGGGTGTTAAGCGTATTTTATTACTTAGCTTTGAACAAAAGCACAGAGCATTTTAGAGCCTTTGACCCGAGGCCGTGTGGTATTTTTGGATTTAATCAATACCTCTGTGAATATTTGATAAGTGCTATCAATGAGCCATTCATAGAGTGAGTGTTGGACATAACAAGTCACTCTAAAAGGTGGGACCTAGTCTCTCAGTCAGAGGGTTGAAGATCAGGTTGTTGGTAACAATGGAAGTAACCCAGCCAGAAGTAGTCATTTGTAGCGCTAGGTCCTTCAGGCTAAGACTACCACTTAGTATTTTGTAGTACTGAGTTGTATAAGCCAAACAATATGCTTGGCGGTTGGGGTTAATTATGAAAAAAGCCTCACAGACTTACAGTTACGTTCAAGCAGTGTACTTTGTTCTAAAACTGTCAGTGAACGGATAACAAAAACTGACCCAAATGGAAGAGAGATAAGCAGAAATTTGTCAACAACTACTGTTGACATAACTGTTAACTGCTGTCCCTGGTTAATAGCCAGGCTTTGAGATCAAGGGCGGAGCTGGTCAGGTAGTCAGAGACTTGTAAGAGGCTTAGTTCGTGCAGTGTACACGATACCCCACAACCCATGGTTATGAACTGTGCCCTAGATAACAAATGCTTCTGGGGAAGGGGCACATTAAACTTAATAGACATGATCGAGGTGCGTCCATGCATGGAAGATGTATTAGTTTCCCACACCACAGAACCTGTTCAGAATGTGACAAAGCGCTGTGGTGAAATTCTAGCCTGCTGTCTGCCTCTAGCCGTTGAAGGGCGACAGGCAGAAAAGGAAGGAAAAGCACCAGACTTGTACAGCACTGGATTTGATGAATAAGTGCCAACATGTATGTCATTTCTGTCCACTCAGGCCTGCCATATATGCCGGGAAATAGGTAATACAGTACACAAAAAGCCACCAGTCTGGTACCCAAGGGTTTTTCAACAGAAGCAGATTCCAACAGATAAAGGCAGCTTACTTTTAACCTTTTGTTAATTACATGTATGGGTTTTTTCCTTACACTGGCATGTATTCATAACACGGTGTGCGCTGTGTTTTCTGAGAGCTTGCAAAAAAAACCACAAGCTTACTCAGGTATTAAACTTCTAAATAAAATGGAATTGATTGTTTCTAATGAATATTCAGTTCCTGTTCATATTTCCAGCTTTGGGTATATTTGTGTGTCTGGTTAGAGGCCTGTTTATTACTGTAAGAGCGGATCAAACTATGAAAGAGAAGAGATTAAATGCCTTTTATATTGCAGTCACTCTGAATCCTTGAAATGATTGATTCCTCTGACCTTGGTTTGAAGTCTGTGTAGGACTGACCCAATTCAAAAGTCGGCCATATTGAATCGAAAGTGAGGTGAACATTTTTATTTGGGGAACCTCGGAATGAAAATGAAGGCAATGGACAAAAATACATGACAGATTAATTTCATTTGCAATGATGAATAATTTACAGTGTTTGATTTATTATGTCTAAAGTTTTAAGCAACATCTACATGCACACGAGGAAGAAAATTGAAAATTGATGCATGGAACCCAAAATAGCCTGGCACCACCCCATTTGACAGATTTCATCGTATAAGATACATGTCGATTCAAGGAACAAGATGAAAAATGGCTTCTTCCGTTGCCTATTATCGTAACACACACCTGACTAAATGTAGGCACGTACAGAACCGGTAGTAAACATGAGGACACTTTATTTTGTAGAATCGTTCAATTTTAGAAACGAGTGGAAGAAAACTGCATATATCTAGAAAGGGTGCTGGTGAAAGAGGTTTTCTCATCTACCTCCACCCCAAAACTTAATTATTTTTTCTTCACCATGTTCACACTGCATTGCCCTAAAAAGAAGGATATGTTGATTGGCCGGGGATGGCCTTTTCATTTATTGTGTTTTGAATTAAATGTTCTGGTAACAGTTATTCAAAATAGATGTGTCAATGTTTGCTTTATAAATTGGATTGCACATTTTGTGAGGATACTGTGGAGACCAGGTCTGTGTTTTCTTGGAAAAAGAAAAAGGATAAGAAAACCCCCCAAAGATGGAAATACAGTCATGGGCATCTTTGATGGTAGAAGAGCGACGATTGGGCCTCAAATTAGTACTTTAGTAGATTGGCAGAGAAAAACCACTGAAACTACTGAAAACAATTTTTTAAATTTGAAAACTTGGAGGGTTAAATTTTTGGGTACAAATCAATAGGATTTTGAAGCATTTATCACCTAAAAGGTTCTGTCTGTTTGTATGAAGAGCAACGATTTTAGATTTTTAATCAGTGGTTTTTGTTTCTTTCCTTTACCTGTCTTTGTTAGATTTATCTTTTAGCTGTTCCTCCCAGCAAGACGGCATTAATAGTTTTCCGGGCCCACATGTCTGCCCTCAGTGGGCCATTCCTAGCGATAATCTTTCCTGTTCTCAACACCAGACTTGTAAGTCTTACTTCCTTGTTCTGTGGGCCTGTTTGTTTCACATGGATCTGAATCTCAATCGGTAATCCATCACTGGTTCACGGACACCAGAACCCACCTGATGGATGGAGGGAACCAGCATTGGAATCGTAGATTGAGATCTAAATCCATGTGAAACAAACAGGCCTTGTATCTGTAGACAAATCTGAGGGGCCTACCTGTAAGTCATAGTCGCTACTCAATTGGCTAGGGCTAGAGTTAACGTGTGTGCCTGTGGGCGGCCACTGGCTAGTGGCTGCGACCACTTGGCAAAGACACATGCCACAGCCATTTGATTTGGACATGGCTCTCTCCTCACTTGACTCATATCAGGGAGAACTTTCTCTTAGTCCAGAGACTTGCTAAGCATGGAACATATTTGCTTAGCAAAAAAAGTTACTTGTGAAAAATTCCAATATACGGTATATTGCTTGTGGCCATTTCTCTGGCGGCATTTGCTCAGCACTTAATTTTTCCTCAGCAATATTTTCTCCCTTGCTGAGATTACTCATGTCAGTCATTATGACGAAGAAGTTGGGACTGACCGGTTTCATTTTTTTCAGTTTTTGCTCATTACTTTCATGTTTTTAATACGATGCATTTAGTTACCATGTGAACCGGAGCTGTACTGGGTTCAACACGTTCTAATCTATCTCATCATACCCCCGTACCTCATGAGTCTTGGAGGTGAGTGACCTTTAACCTACAGTGACTAGAAATACCGCCTCACCAGCATACATGTAGATGGATCCACAGTGGCGACTGGGGAACAGTTTCAACCGGGGGCATATGCGAAGACCGTACATTCCACCATAAATTATTCACGTGTGACCAGCGCAACCTACTTTCTGAAACCGTGAATGCGTTCGTAAAGCTGTAATTGGTCGGTCTCTGGATTAAAACCTTGCCATCTCCTTTTCCTGTAGGGAGCAGACAAAAGGGGCTTTCACACGAGACAAATTCCCTGGGAAATTGCCTGGGAATTTCGTTCGGTCTGTTCACACTACCAAAGAAATTCCCAGGGAGAGGCTTTTCCCCGGGAAATATTTACCCCTGCTCAGGAATGGGGTTAAAGGAGAAAACCTCAGGGTTTAACGTTTTTCCTGGGAGAAAGCAACTGGTGATGCCCTGAAATAGTGTCCCTGGGAGTTACCAAATGGGTCAAGTGTGAATGGTTGCAGGGGTTTTGGTGGGGTAAAAAATCCCCGGGATTTGCCCAAGGATTTATTTCCCAGGGGATTGGCTCTGCAGCGTGAAAAGGCCTAGATTGTTTGCTTTCTCAGAAGCAGAACTGGGATCTCATGAAGTTAAGTGCAAGATACAAACCAGAGGACTCTCCACACTAAGTTCCTCTCTGTCTTACATTGCATATTAGTTTCAGAAAAATGGTACCACTTTATTCATTAGGAGCACCTCATAGAAGAATTAGCATTGTCTTTACCAACATTTTGACCAAAAACAGCTATTCAAAAGTCAGATTGTTCATTTGTTGGGGTGTTTGTTTGCTTGTTTTTACAGGTGCTTATACTTGTGAGCCATTGTCCAACTTTTCCTGGGTCATTTTCATGACGGGAGCCCAGTTCATCTACCATTTTATTCCCCTTCAAGGCATGGCATTGGTAAGCAGACGTAGAATATTTGATTTGAGAAGAGTATTGACCATTCAAGAGTGGTGAATTCATGATGACTGCAGTCTTTCAGGAAACAAAAATGGCCTCCCCGATTCAACCACCACCAACCACCGTTTCATTTGCAGTGACTTTAGAATACGTAGAAATAAGTGTTACTTTTAAACTTATTTTTTTTTCTGTGGAAGGACGCTATCTTTCGGCACAAGTCACAGGTTCCTGCATCCCAAGCGCTGCCTTGATTGAAACGTTGATAGAATTCCTTCGGGCCGGAAAAATATTGAAAACGTCATGTACATTTAGTTGCAGTTCCAGGGTTACAAAATTCATGGGGATTTGTGAAAAAAAGGACAAAAATCCTGGAAAAGTTATGGCATTTTGTGAAGTTCAATTTATTTCGTATATGAAACTGCCAACACAGTAAGATGGTGTGAGAAATCTGACTTTCGTGCGCAACAGAATGAAACAGATTTTGCAGATGCAAGCATGTTTTGCGCCTTTGCATTAAGAAAATGTAGTGAACACCAAACATCTACTGCAACACCAGACTGATAATTGAGCCAGTAGTTTTGTTAACTCGGCCATTTATTTTCATAATTGGGAAAAATTTATGGGGGGGGGTAGCCATGGATTTTCATTTTCTTAAAGGTGCAGGAACTTTGCGTTAGTTTGGTTTTTCTGTCACTTTTGTGTCAGCTGCTGCACGTCAACTTGAACAACATGCTCTGTCCCGCACCAAGCGACCCCTTCTGCAGCTCCTGGTATCGCATGTTTGCCCTGGTCCACCAGCATCTCCTGCTCCCCGTCCACCTGAAACTCTACACCCTGGTGATGAGGTTGATTCTCCCTGTGAACCCCGACCCCATCAACGGCGACGTCATCAAGAAATCTCACTAGGTGTGTGTGTACATTTGTTTGTGCAGGCTGAGGTGACCTTTTACCAAATCTGACAAACGTTCAAAACATGGTTCCTCTCATCAGGGGCTCTTTGTGCTAATTGCTTGGGCATGAATTGCAGAAGTAGGCCAGTAAATAGGCCCAAAATAATCACCACCATCCAAATCGTGATTATTAGGCCTTAACATTCTTTGTCATTTATAGGTCTTACGGCCCACAATCTCGAGCAGTTGTCTATAGAAAGTGTGGAACTTTGAATAAGACTGTGAACTCCAATTTCTGAGAAATTTGGACAGAGTCAATCCTAAAGGAACTATAATTTCCATTAGGGTCAGTCACTTCCTGCATTGCCACCTGCTATGTGTAGCACTGCCAAGAACTTCGGTGTTTTGTTGGAATGACAAATTCTTTTTGTGGGACACTATTCACCAAAAATTATTAGATTCACCATAAATGAGACAGTGATGGAATGAAATTTAATGCCATGTGTCTCAGCGACCTCGGAGAAGTGTACTTTTCCTGTATTTTTAAGAAGTGAAGGTTGTCTGTGGCAGTCTACTGATTGGTCTGCTTTGTCACATTTTAGAGACATGGCGTACCAAAACTGGTTTGCTCGCAGCATGGTTCTGCCTTGCATGGGTTAAGTTGAATGCATGCAGTCCACGAATACTTGCGTACTAGGAATGCACCCCGCTGGTAAACTTTTAGTGCTGATGCATGGAATCAGTAACTGCTTTGTTGTCTAAGTGCATGCATCTTGGATTGGGGTGATGTCATTGTTGTAAGGCATCCTGCCCAAGGACACAAATTGTTCTCATCCCTGCCTGGTTCCAGACTTGCATTCAGCTGTTTCTCCTCGGCTCGTAGTGTTCAGAGAGCTCCAGATGGTAGTCAGCAATAGGTAACAAGTTGGAAATCTGTGTGTGATGCAAAATTTGGCCCACTGAGTCGGCAAAACAGTGTGTACAGAACACTGCCGAAACATTTCAATTTGGTATAGTCCCCCATTTGTAGTTTGGATGTTTTAGCTCGACGGGCAAGTTTTTATTTCCATGTACACATCATTAGATTGTTCTTATATGTGTACTTTATCAGAGAAATAAAGAAAGACATAATTATATTGTGGCCACGTGTTGACATGGTTGACCCAATGCAAAGCATTGATGTAAAGCAGTTACATTCCACTCTTTGTTGTGTAGTTTGATACAAATTTGCATAGTTTGTAAAAGTCATAGATATGTCTGGCAATGTTATGATCACGTTTCTCGACCAGATCTAGTGGTCTCCAACAATGGGAAACACTTCTGAGACACTTGGGGGCAGCAAACCTACTGGTCCTACAGATACGTGACCGCTCTACTATTGTTTGCGTCTGGTTTGGGCTAATCTGATGTGGGCATGCTCAAACTGACGCTAACATTGGTTGACCAGACGGTCACTCAGGACCAGTGTGTTTGCCTTCACCAAGCATCTCAAAGAGTCTCCAGTTGGCAAATGCTACAGAGGTTTTCCAGTTCTGTTACTGGAACATCCAAATAACTTTCTTTCATGTAAGTATGAGTAAGTTTTTCTTAACATAACTTTGAAAAAATTCTCCTTTTTTGTCTCAGATGATCATCCATGTTGTATAAATCACTAGTACATTCTACCCTACATAGGGGTTCTCATTTCTTTTAGTTACTTTCAAAGGCAAAGTGGTACATAGAATAACAAGAATATTCTTGTTTTATTTTGTATTAATAGCAGAATTTATTAACGGTCAGAGGAAGTACAGTATTATGCGGATGTTTGCCCAGTGGTTTTTCAGACAATCAGTAATATTGAAGTCAAGCCTAGATCTCGAACGTACAGACAACACATTGGTGACAGTGTAAAACTGAACAGGTTTTCAAGACTTAACAGTACAGAGTGTACTTACCACCAAAGATCGTAGAGCACCGCAAAGCGGCGCAAGATGGCGAACTTCACCGTGAATACAAGTAAAATGTTGTAATCGCATGGGCGCCATTTGAGCAAGCGATACGCGTGTGCAATTCATATTAATGCACAGGCGCCGCGGCAGGCACGTGCACCTGGGGAGCCTGCGCCCAAACATTACCGTAAAATGCGCAGGCGTATCGCTTGCTCAAATGCGCCCACGATAATTACATCTTTTGGGCAGAGTTATCCATCTTGCGCCTTTGGCGCTATATGATCTTTGCTTACCACCATGTCCAGTTGGCCATTGGCAGTATTCAGTTCTTGCTACGCAAGCAGAAGGCTCGACTTCATGATCACAGCGTTGGTCGAATAATTATATCGCCTTAAGAAGTACACAAAAAATTGCCTGCAAGTATCTCGTTGTTGTTATTTGTGCTACGGAGAAACGGTTACTAATTGTGATAAGCCAGGATTAACAATTTTGACATAGCAGACTATCGACCAATCAGAACTGGTCACCCCTTTGAGAACAGGGATCTAGTGGTAATTACAGATGAGCATTCTGTTGGCATGGTGAGAAATCTTGGGATATGAATATTCATCATTTCTCTGATTGGCTGCCAGTTATTATTCCACCTCCATTAGCAGGAAATGTGGCTTATATTTCACAGAGCCACCGAACACAAACAGACAAATCGCTTAGCATTTATTACTTGCTTAGCAAAAAGTAGCAGTAAACCAGTCATGTTGCATGTGGTGACATTTTTACTAGAAACCTGTGTCTGCTAAGCTCATTTTTCCTGTGCTAAAGCAAATTTGTGTGCTTGGCAGCTCTGTGAAATTCGGCTCAGAATTGGGACAACTGTCATGTGTGTGTGTTTTCATTGTATTGAATAATTAATCGGATGCAAAGGTTGTAGATTTGCTAAAATTGTGTAAATCAAAGGTAATTATAAATATGTACAATTTTTAATGGTTAAGATTTTCATACAACAGTAAGTTGCCACTTACCTGTCTGTCAAATCTCATACACACAAAACTTACATGTGTTTACTCTTCACGTTTTATGATTGAATTGTTTCATTGCATCGTATACCTCCAAGGCTTTGAACTTTTAACACTTAAACTTTGCTGTCTATTTCAACATTTGGCGAGGTACATTACTCTTCTTTTTTTTCACTTGAAAAGATCTGAAATCAATACTTCAGGCTAAATTACATCTTGTCACTGAATGTTTTGCTGGTCACAGATGTTACCAGGTTTACATAAGGACTGTTAGTTTTCATTCGGTGTAAATTTACCAACTGTGCTCTTTAACTCACTTGTTTTTAGGCTACAAAGATTGGCTTCAAAGAATGGCTACATGCACTGTTTGGCATGCACGAGGGTTTATCCACTACGGACACAGGGCGAGGGCTCCCCTCATTTCCTCTGTTTCCTTAGAATGACGCAATCTACATTCAGCATGTTCAGAATTCGCATCTTGGCATGAACAGAAAAAAAACCTTTTGCTTGTTATAGTTGAGCTCTGAAGACACATGAAACTGCGTTTGATTTGTATGCTTCCATATTTATTCGAACAGATAAAATCAGAAAAAACGTGTTTTCCTTTGAGTTGCTCTTTAACAGATGGATGTACCTGCAAAGTGGTCATTCCGGTTCTTTGTAAAATGTAACATTGATCTGTGAATAGAAAGTCTCTCTTTTCTTTCCGTAATTTACAGTTTCATACAGTCACTGGAATATATATATAAATGTACATACGGACTGATAGGAAGAAAACTGTTACTTCACCATAGCATGTTACACTTTGAAGTCTTGATATACCATTGGAAGTGTTTTAGTGTTCATTTTTTTTAACCAAAACTTTAAACACCAAGCATGGGTTGAAATATGTTTCCCAGTATGTGTTAGATTCTCACATTCTCAGTGAGTAAAACTTATTTTGACTGTGCCATTTTTCAATGTCACAATCACAGTTTCAACAGTTTGATGGGAAGACCCTTCAGTACATGCAGGTCAGTTGTATCCAGATGTGGCCGTAAACTCGATGAGACATTAAACTTTCTATTTGTGACCTGCTCCACAAAAAAGGGTAATAAGTCGTGCAATGCCAAAACACGTAATGGCCTGTTCTCTTTGGAGAAGGCAAAATGTCTTCAAAAACATGATTTTGTGTTTTTTCCTTTAACACTTTCTGTAATATTTATATTTTCAGAATTTGTGACTACAAACATGGATACTGATGAATAAAGATGAAAAATTGATCCTTCAGTAGGAAATCCTTCATAGCATTGTGTTTCCAAGAGATACACTTCATGAGCTTTTTCACAAAATGTGCTTTTATTGAATCCAAAAATTTGGATTTACAAATGTCCATATATCTCCAGAATGCAGTGCACTACAGGGGTCATTCATATATCAAATTGTAGTGTTTGATGTACAGAATCCAGCCATATCAAAAACTCTTAACCTGAATCTGCCAACTTATTACCCATTTTGCTATAGCCAGTCACATTTGGATTTCATCCATTTCAATTGCTACTCAAGCCCTAGAACTTGGCCGGTTTCACAGTGATAATAATGTTGTAACTATTGCTGGTTTGCACTTGTTCTCAAGTAAATCAATTTTGCCGAGGTGATTTTTGCCATGGTAGCATAAGTTGTCTGATGGTGAGACAATTATTGCTAGAGAATATTTATATCTGCTGTATCAGAGACCAAAAGAAATAATTTACGAAATTGCAAATGTTAAAAACAAAGATAAATGAAACTTTTATGGAGCGCCAACTAATGTGTATGGTTTGTGGAATTGTGAAGTTACTTTGAAAGGTGCCTTCTTCGACTTGAGATCAAGGCTAAATGTTGGATTTGTTTTGGTATGATGGGCAGCATACACGAAGCAGCACCATTCAACTGTATGCCCCCTAGGGAAGGCTAATTTTCTGAATAATGCCAGTACATTTATCTGGACTTGAATCAAGTCTAACCAAGAGGTATTATCCACTAGCTCAAAGGAATGTGGACAAGAGAATGTAATAAATTGATGAAGTTTATCTGTGTCTTTGCCTGCAATTTTTTTTTTCTTTTGGAGCTTTTTAAGAAAAGGTTGGGGATAAATAAGCTTGATAAAATATGAGATTCTCCTTGTGCCTACACATTGCCAACCTACAAGCAAAAGAAAGAGAACAACAGAATGTATTCTGGCAAACTCTTTTTTGGGTGACATTACGCTTTCAAATCCTGGGTGCTTCCACCAAAACCCCTTTAAGGTAATTAGGCATAAATGAGGGGAGAGGGGGACTCTATGTCTCCAACCATTTGTCACACTACAAAAAGTGTTGCTTGCTTTCCTTATTAACACTTGTGCCCCAACTATAGCATAAGTCCCAACTACAGTTGGGACAGTCCCAACTGCAGTGCTGCAGTTGGGCTGACCCAACTATTGTTGACCAATGTCTGTGGGAAATGTCTCAACATTATCCAATTCAGTGTGTCTCACACTTGACACAATTCATCTAAGATGTGGCACTTCATCTGTTCATCTAGCCCTATGACCAATGACATGACATTTGTAAACAATATGACTTTGGCACATGCTGGGCACATCATGCACGCAGGACCTCTCTGCTGTAGTTGGGCCGGCCTAACTGTAGCACTCTAGTTGGGACGGGCCCAACTATATTTGGGACTGATGCTATAGTTGGGGCGTAACATTCTCATCTCACTGCATCGCACTGCATCAATTTCCAGCAAAAGTCCGATGGTGCCCCTCGTAAACTATAACTCTAAGAGTACCGCAAACAAGTTTTTTTCCCCTCGCCCGCCAGCTTTTGGAACTGGTTCCCAGCTAGTTGCAGAAATTTTGCCTAGTCTGATCTAGCGGTCGTGCACCAGCGATCTCGCGGGTTCGGCATTTAATTTACCATGTGACCAACTTTCGCGCCACGTTTGTTTTGTTGACAACTTAGGACGAAGCTAGCTGTAAGGCTTAATTACGCTGGTGGGTGAAAAATCCCGTCGATTTTGCTTTCGGAAGGTTTTTTTTATCTGTTATACTGAGTCCACAACTTGTGAATCAGCATGCCTGCTAAAGACTACAACGCCGAGAAAGGTCTGTTTTTCAATTTATTGCAATTTGAGCAATTTATATCGTCATAAATTCATCGGATGTCGGAACAGTTTAGATGGTGAAATTTAAAGTGGCACAATCATGACAGTCGTGACCACGTTGACAACTTAGTTTCTGAAAAAAAAATTTCTGTTATTTTGAGATATCGTTTTGAGTCATATTTTTAATTGGCCCTCTGTCATGCATGACTGTGTGATTGTGGATACTTTAATTCATGTTAAACAACAGCATTTTTGTGCACTGTTAGGCCTATGACTATGAGGGAAAATAGTTTGCTTGAGCCTTAGTTTAAGAATTCACAGTGGCCAGGTGGCTGTTGTTTCTGCAGCCGTAACGCATCTCCCATTTTCTATCATTACGGCACTGCAGCTGTGCAAGCATGCCAACTTAAGCGCAGATTACAGACTTTATTTCCCTTTAAAAAAAATCCTCCAAAGCCTCCGATGAGAAAAGATTAAAAGATTTGGCCTGCTTAGGCCTATGCAAGTAAAAACCAACATAAAAAAACAATTATGGTATGGATCTCTTTCCCAAATGTTATACATGTACATTTTTATTTGAGTAGAACATGTGGTTTAGATTATTGTCTGGAATGTTCGAATGTTGTAAGATAGAGTTTTGAATTTAACCATAGACAGTTTCATTTTAAAATTTCTTTTCTCAGAAAAGTGCAAAAGTTTTCTCACGGATTTTTACAACGAGGGGGATGACGGCACAAAGAACTTCAAGTATGCAAGACAGCTGGTGAGCAATCCAGATGTGGAAACAACTTAACACCTTGTGTTGAATCGTGAAAAACATGCACGTACAGGTCACGAGTAGGCTTGACCACTGATTAATTGTTATCTTGTATTTTGGGGGCTGTTTTGATTGCAGGTGGCCGTTGCCCACCGTGAGCAGGTTGCCTTGACAATTGACCTGGATGACATCAACGAGGTTGACCCCGACTTGGCCGAGTCGATTATGGAAAACACTCGGCGGTACACCAACCTCTTTGCCGACGCCGTCTTCGATTTGCTTCCGGACTATCGAGAGAAAGAGGTGAAACCTTCATGTGGGACCCCGTTGCGGAAATTAAGAGTTCCATATACAGAAGTCACTTGACACCCTTGTGCGCAAACCCAATCAGACCGGTCTGAAAAATTCTAAGTGTTTTCTTTAGGAATACCTCAGTAAAAAATGACTTGTTTGGACGTTTTATTGCTTTCAGATGGCCAATTGGTCCGTGTATGGAAAAATTAGTGGTTTCCGCATGTGTAGAATTCTTTCTCTAGTTGTAGAGTAGATGAGGAAAGATTGTAGCCTTCACAGCTTTAGAATTATGTAACTTTTGGGAGCAGATTTTGTGTTTTGTCGGTGTGATTTTTGTTTTATTTTGGAAAGAGCTCTACGCATGAACATCCTCGGTTTTTCCCTACAGTGGTGTATCATCCGTCAGAAAGTCATAATATTTCCTGAAAGGTAAATTAAGGAGGGAAACCATTGAAGCATTTACTTAGAAAACACTCCGAAAACACAAATTTTAGGACCAGTCTGATCGGGTTCGTGCACCGAGTGTCAAGTGATGTCCGTGTACGGAACTCTTTCTTGTATTGTTTTTCCAAAAAATATGGTTCCCAGACACTGCTTTATTGGTTTTGCCTTTAATCTCCGAGGAGTCGCAAACGTTCTCCAAGAAATAAGTGATATTGACTCTGCCATGTTTCATCTGTCCCCAGGTCATCCACAAAGATGCTCTAGATGTTTACATCGAGCACAGGTTGCTTATGGAACAGCGTTTACGGGGCCCCAACCCGGGGGAGATCAGAGACCCCAGGAACCAGTTTCCGCCGGAACTCATGCGCAGATAGTAAGTGCAGCAGGGGTGAAATCAGACAAAACCTTCCCAAGTTTCAAGCTTTTAACTTTTTCGAGAGCAGTTTCAGATGTGAGGAACCAGATTTGCAGCAAATCTCTTGTCATGTGCATCGTGTCCACAGAAAAGATGGATTGTTTAGGTCTTGTAGGGTTTGGGTTTTTTGTTTAGTTCTAGAATGGTTTCAGAGGAACCACTTCCCTTAAGAACCTATTTTTTTTCTGGGATTCTCCTTTATTGTTCACTGTGTCCTTTTAAACATCGATGCTAACAATTTATAAAATGAGAAATACAGATTTAAATTCCAATAATATTAAATACCTGCTAACCTTGGCCTTATATGACTAATTGGTCCCAAAGAACTTATTCTTTGATGATGACCACAGGATATGTAACTGACATCTCTCTTGTGGATTTGGGATTCAGAACTGGTTCCAGAATCTTGAAGGATCAGAGATCCAGAGTATTAATGGTCATCCACTTTTGTTTTCATCATTTTTCAGGAGGGCACAAAGTTTACTATTTTTTTCTGACCTCTCACTCTCCAGCAAAAGTCTGCGTGCGTAGCCAACAGCTCATGAAAATGGCTTGTGAAAAAATGTAAAAATGGACAACCCCTTACCATATCCGCTCAGCTTCCCAATGTGAAAAAAAAAGCCGTTTACTGTTTTTCATCTTGGCATAGCACATGTCAGTCGTATACCAATTTCATATTATTCATTAAAAAAATTTTTTTCTCTTGCAGTGAGATCTATTTCAAAGTTCCCAGCCAACAGAAGGCACTGTCTATCCGCGACGTCAAAGCCGACAAGATTGGCAAGTTAGTGTCTGTCCGTGGCATAGTGACCCGGTGCACCGAGGTCAAGCCGATGATGACAGTGGCCACCTACACCTGTGACCAGTGTGGCGCGGAGACCTACCAGCCGGTGAGTGGTACATGGTGCAGTCACTGAGTAAAGCCTAGTTTCTGTTTATTTGTAACAATCGCCGACAGCAAGCAGGATGTCAAGACACAATCACAAAAGAGGAAGTGTGATATCATTTGACAAAAAACTGAAACAGAATGGTGGCCTAAATGCTGTCCGAAATGCCTTTTCAGTTGGTTCTACCATTTCTTGGAGCTTAAGTGGTACTTCTCTTCGATGTAGTGCCTTTATATTCAGCCATTTTTTTCATAATTGGGGTTTCATTTCTTAGTCATTAGAAAAAAAATTGGCCAAATGTGTGTTGCTCAACCTAGTAGGATATCGCTCTATGCCTGTCATGCCAGCACTCATGTTTCTCTGGGCCTCCTTGGACGACTCAATATCTAAAGTTGACGTGAGGAGAGTATAATGAGGTTAGTTTGACATGGATGCTTGCTTATTCCAGATTGGCTCACCTACCTTCATGCCGCTACTGAACTGCCGGAGCCAAGCCTGTGACGCTAATAAGTGAGTACTTATAGAGTACGGAAGTGAGTACATTTTTTTTATTGATTCATGACAACTGACTCGACTTTCGACTTCTGAAAAATTGCTGACAAGATTGGATAATCCAACAGGTCCGGTGGCCGTCTGTACCTGCAGACTCGAGGGTCAAAGTTCGTCAAGTTCCAGGAGATCAAGATCCAAGAGCACAGCGACCAGGTGCCCGTGGGCCATATCCCCCGCAGCATGACGATCTACTCGCGGGGCGAGACCACGCGTTGCTGTCAGCCGGGTGACCACATTGGAGTCACGGGGGTATCCTTGCTGAAAATCAGACCAAGGATGAAACAAGCCAAGTGATTTGAAGAATTAGTATTTTGTGAAACTGATTGTCATTTGATTTTAGTCAATTTCGCTACCATTCTGTGTCTGTGAAAAGTTTATAATGGGTTAGTTGTGAGCTAGACTTAAAACCTATGGCTTCCTAAACCGCATTCGATGGAGTTGCCGAAGCACAAAGATTTGCTAAGTGCAAAGAATATTTGCTGAGCAAAAACAACCAACCAACCAATATAAAGATAGTTTTTAATTAGTGAAACTTGAAACTGATGTCCGATGGTCCTTAACTGGTGACCAGGTGTACCTGCCCATGCTGAGGGTCGGCTTCAGACAGATGGCCCAGGGCTTGCTGTCAGAGACATACATGGAGGCACATGTAAGTATCAACTAGGACCTACCAGACAGTGTTGCTATCCCCAAAAGTTTGAACCGGCATTAAGGCTGCTTGGTGAGGGAAAACATTAACCTTTGTGCCCATACTCATGATCGTTTTGTTAAATTTTGATTGAAATTCTAAGAAGGCGAGACACTGTATTTCCAGCAGACCATTTTGGGATCATTCTGGGCGATTTCACATACACTGGGATCATTGTTACAAACCAGTGTGTATCCCAATTAGTAGTAAATCCCACGTGATTGTTTTATCTGAATGAAACTGTTGCAGTTTGATTCTCACAAATTGTTAAAATCAGCAGATTGTCTAGTTCACAGGACTTACATTGATTAAGTTTTTGAGTCTCCGATCTGCGTAGATCAAACTGGAGCGTATATTTTGCTTTGCATCCTGGATGTGATGCGAAAGTTATACGGCGCTCCAACATGTCTTTTGACTCGATTTTTAGATGCTTCCTAGGTTTTTGATACCACCTGTTGTTGATAAATAAATTTAGGAATAACTGTGCAATTGAAATCTCTAATTTTGCCGTGACAAAAATAGTTGTTGGGTATAGAGTAGATAGTTGAAATCGGATTGCTCTCCTGAATTTTAGTCGCACGTTGGCTTGTTTTCTCAGACGCAGTCAAAATTACTCAAGGAATTTTCGGTTCAAAAGAAGTATCATTAACAAAGTATGAATGGTTGTCTCCCTACAGCACATTGTGAAGATGAACAAAGCTGCCGAAGAGGAAATGAGTCTGAAGGAGCTCACCGACGAAGAGATCCAACAAATTGCAGGTCCGTTGGCTCGCAGGCAAGCCTGGTTTTTGCTCAGAGTCTAGAAATGCTTGTATTTACTTGATGTTTTTACCAACATTTTTGTTGGAAGTATTCCTCTAATTCAAAAATTGTGTAGCAGCAAAGATCAGCAGCACACTTACATCAGTAATAATCTTTACGAATATGGCAAAAGTAAATAGAGTTTGGTGATATCTCATATGATGCAAAAACAGGGGTAGAAATAACTGGAATTTGGGCACCTTTTTAGCAGGAGCCAGTCACGTCCTGGTACCTTTGCATCAGCAAATGTAGCAAATTGTTGTCCTTAAAACTAGAAAAGAGTTACAGCCACTGCAGGCCCATCTTGATTTTAGAAACAACAGATTCATTGTTGATTTCAGTGACGATTTCCCACTTCCCTAACAGAGGAGGACTTTTATGAGAAGCTCGCCTGCTCCATCGCGCCGGAGATTTACGGCCACGAGGACGTGAAGAAGGCCCTCCTGCTGCTGCTGGTGGGTGGAGTGGACCGCAACCCCAAAGGAATGAAGATCAGAGGTGGGTTATTCTTCTCATAGTCACCCCCAAGCCAAACCTCCGTGTTGCCCCTTCAATGAGTAAATGTAGAGCCCTGCTGAGGTGTTTTAAATGGTGACGCCACTCTAGACGCCGCTCTGGCAAGGCAACCCCCGTCAGTGGCAGAAAAGAGAGAGATAAGTGAAGTACACACGAATATCAATGCCGCTGTACGTTCGCACTGAGCAAGGATTATTACTCTGTGAGTATTCAGTTATTTGTGCACATTCTGATGAAAATCCCTCACCCAATGTGCTGAAACCCAGCCGCTTACGCTTCTTTACTCCAGGGACCATCAACATCTGCCTGATGGGCGATCCTGGTGTGGCCAAGTCGCAGCTACTCTCCTACATTGACAGACTTGCGCCGAGAAGTAAGAAGTCCTTTGATGGTGATAATTGTCATAAATTGACCCTAATTCCCTTTGCTGGGAATCTTCCCTGATCTCCCAAATACACTGCTGTTGAGGAACTTAGTACCAGGTTCTGTGCACTTAGACTTCTACGGGACATCAGTACATCTGTCGGGTAATTCTGGTTTGGCCATACTCCTTCAATCTAGCAAAAGTGGTATCTTGGAGGGATGACTTTGTAACAAGATGTGTATCTTGAACAATGTATTAACAGAACAAAAATAGTATCAGATATTAAAAGTGAAAAAATTAGGTTTTAAAAGAATCAAAGTACAATATTGTCGCACAAGGCACTTTGTCATAATCACCCATTCTTAAATAATAATCGTGAATGATCTGTTTATCTTGCAGGTCAGTATACAACCGGTCGGGGTTCGTCCGGTGTGGGTCTGACTGCCGCCGTCATGAAGGATCCAATCACCAACGAGATGGTGCTGGAAGGTGGCGCCCTCGTGCTGGCTGACCAAGGCGTCTGCTGCATTGACGAGTTTGACAAGATGAACGAGACGGACCGGACGGCCATCCATGAGGTCATGGAACAGCAGACAATATCCATAGCAAAGGTAAATGTTCCGGTCGAACACTTTTTGGGTGAAAGTAAGGGTCAGCTCATTGTGTGCCTGATATTCAAGCAGTTTTGTCCACTCAATTCACAGTGCGACAAATGGCTTCATTAAGCCCTTCAGCCTGACGAATATATTGATGCCTCTTTTGACTTCATGTTGGTTCTTAGAAGTAAGAACTTCCTCAAGGAGTGGAAAAATAACAATTGTACTAAATGGTCTTTGTTTTACCTAGGCCTGGAAATATCGAATAAGTGGAGGAAATCATTGATATAATCTTTCTTTTTTTTCAAGTCTGAATTGAAGCTCTACAGCCAACAAGATATTTTGCAATTTGAGTCCAAACCTACCCAAATCCAACCTCATTCTCTGCTTAAATATTCGGATCATTTCTTGGTTTTCTTCCCAACAGTTGGGAAGATCACCAAGGATGCAATGCAGCCAGTGTAATACTAACATTGGCGGAGAGCAAATTCTTGTGGAGAACATTTTTGTGTGACTAGACTCAAATTGTGTCCTTACCCTACAGGCTGGCATCATGACCTCCCTAAACGCCCGTGTGTCCATCCTAGCGGCGGCCAACCCCGCCTACGGACGTTACAACCCAAAGAAGTCCATCGAGCATAACATCCAACTGCCCGCCGCCCTGCTGTCCCGATTCGATCTGCTCTGGCTGATCCAGGACAAGCCAGACAGGGAGAACGATCTACGGTGAGAAAACAGAGCGGCTGATTTTTTCGCAAAAAAATTCAATTTCACGTCTTTCTTGACTCCCGGCCAAAGACATGGGTCATTCTTTGCCACCAATTCCTTAGTTTTGGTCAAAAGCTTACACTCAATTAGATGGAAAGTGCTTAATTACAGGTTTGAACGTTCAGCCTCTCCTAAAAACCTTTTATTATGTTGCCTTTTATTATATTTTATTCAGGTCAAATAACTTCACGTGAATCAGCAACTGCCTTACATTACAGCTCCCTTCAGCAAAACTTTGCTTTCCCAATTCAATGTGCAGACTGTCAGCACAACATAAAAATCTACGCGTTATTTTAAAACATTGTCATAGTTCAGTGCAAATCTACTTTCTTCCTGAACTCGAGTTTCTGGAATTGTTTTCCCAGGCTTGCCCAACACATAACCTACGTCCACCAGCACAGCACACAGCCGCCTATGCAGTTCACCCCGCTGAATATGAACCTCATGCGGTAAGTCCTTCCTGCAAAGAAAGCTGGAGAAACATTCTTGCCTAATACGCCATCCTGGGTAGAGACAAATTTACGATAATTTTCACCAATGTGTCATAGTTTTGGTAGCGTTTGGAGATTGTCAAAGCCCTGGTTTATATGGGTAACTTTTCTTTTGGAAAACTTGAACTGATCAGTTCAAATTGCACTTTTTTGACAACTGTTGTCAGCAAGAGCACCAAGGTTGTGAACATACCTGACTTTAACCTCCTCTGTCCGCAGTCGGTACATAGCTCTCTGCCAGACTAAGACTCCTGCTATTCCTGAATCACTGACGGACTACATCACGGGGGCGTATGTCGAGATGCGTAAAGAGGCCCGCGGGAGCAAGGATACCACCTTCACCTCGGCACGGACACTCCTTGCCATCCTGCGGCTGTCCACAGCTCTGGTTAGTCTTGCCTCAAGAATTCCTTTCCTTGCGACAATATCTGAAGTTTCTATTTTTTAACATTGAATGTAGTTTCCCCGTGTGGAGTTTGAGAACGTCATTAAAACAAAGACTCTTGAAAACAGGTTATTGTCTGAAAGTGCCGTTCCACAAAAGTTTTAAATGCAAGTAATTTACAAAATGTACGTTAATTTGTCAGAAACAGTTATTCAAATATTGGCTATTGTTTAACATTTAAACAGCTTTTTGAATTTGTATAAATTCAGTGCGTTTGGCAAATATTTCAAAAATACAGATGCCGCATAAAACCCCTCTTGTTAATTAAAGATCGGTACTCATTGGAACCTAATAAATGCTCCTGTTCCCACTGTTCGCAGGCCCGTCTCAGGTTGGTGGACGTTGTAGAAAAGGAAGATGTGAACGAAGCAATGAGGTTGATGGAGATGTCGAAGGAATCCCTGCACGGACAGCAAGAGGTCACCGGAAGGTATGTCATTCAGACCTCTTCGAGATCATGCGCCTGCTCGGTTGAACCGTTGGACGTTGACGGGAGATACGAAATTGGGCAATGAATGCTCACAGTGCCCCCTGGTTCAATTCAGTCCCATTACCGATCTGTAGAGTGGCAGAGAGGACTTGGGACTTTTGGCCTTTGATAGATCGCTGAGAAGATGACAGAAATCATTGTTGTGAGAGCATAATTAATTCCACCTTTAGACATACGAAAGTCATCAATGTACATTATGTAAATTACTTGCATTTAAAACTTTTGTGGAACTGCACTTTCAGACAACAACCTGTTTTCAAGAGTCTTGTTTTAATAACAAACTTGGATTAATCGCATTACTCCCAGCAAGACTAGATATTAGCTACGAGCCTTTTGAATTCTTGGTATTAGATTCATACTCCAGCCTCATTGGGTAATGTTACATATGGCAGGATATTCATTGAAAACGTAGCAGCGTGCTACTTCACTTCCCCCACTCACTTTGACAGAGATGTCAGAATTACATACAGCATAGCCAGCCAAGTACTTTGTACCGGGCCAGGGTTAACATTCGCAAGCATGCTCCAGCAAATGTCCTCGGGGACATCACAAGCCACGAATTTGCGGTTTTGAATTCCAGGATAGATATGTTGCCCTAAGGCTCACATCCCCTGGCATGTCTTTTGACCGCTAGGAGTTCGCACATTAGCAAGAGCTGCGTGTATCATGTGAACCCCCAATGGTGGACTCTGTTATTGTTTGTGGAATAGATTACAGCGAAGGCATGGATTACAGTAACATGGCTGGCTCACTTCACTCCCCGTGGAGTTGAGATGGGTCCAAGCATTCATTTAGGATTGTTACTTGGGGCAACAGATTTGTCGGAAGAGCTGCAGTCAACCAGAGAAAGCTGGCTTATGTGTATCAGTTGAGACAGGATCCCACAAAACGAGTCCTTATGACATTGTTTCACCATATAATGTACTTATATAAGAGCAAAGTCAGTTCCTCATTTGGTATATTCCAGTTTTCAGAAAATTGGTGATAGTGCATCAGTTGTTGCCATAGTGTGGAAGTGGTGGACTCAAAAGTTGCCGTGGTGACTCATTTCAAACGTTCGGTCGATTTTTTTTGTTTCTTTTCCTCACCGCATTACTCTTCTTTCTCTGTCACGCAGGAAGCAGCGGTCGGAAGACGTCATCTTCAGCATCATCCGCGAGATGGTGTCAGGCAAGCAGAGCGTCAAGTTTGCTGATGCCCGCCAGACCTGCCTGGCCAAAGGCTTCACCAACGACCAGTTTGAGGAAGCCTTGGATGCCTACGAAGAGCTGAACGTGTGGCAGGTCAACAATGCCCGCACCAAGATAACGTTTGTGTAGGAGAAGATGACGAGGGCAAGGCCACGTCCAAATCAGTTGGCTCGGGCTTGTTGGAACACGTGTCCATGGGAATTCACTGCAGCCACCAGCCAGTGGCTAGCTATAGACACGAGTTATTTCCAGGGGTATTGAATTCATGTTAATGTACATTAACACATGTAACATTTTCATGTACATGTACATGATGTTTGATGTGCAAACCAAGGCCAATTTCTCAAAGAGCTGGCTTTTAGCTTCGGGCACCGTGTTCACAGATTGTGGCCCCTTCCCCTCTTTGGAGACCTCTGCTAAGTTACGACTCTTTTTCTGTGGCAGGAAAATCCAATTCCAGTGGACTGAAGCAAAAGTCAGGGGTCATCCTGTTTGGTTTTGAGGCTAAAAAGATTAGGGTCTCCCACAAATGAAGACAACGTTCCAGAAATGGGTCAGTGTCCGCCTTATGTTTAAAATTTTTTCGGGGAGATGGGTTAGGGACCACAAGGGGTGAGTGAAGTCAGAGGATTGAATTTTGGAGACACAAATGTTACGATGCATAGAAGATTGTTCAAAGTTCCCAATTGTAGCTCTTTGTTTTAAAAGCATTAAAGGATCCAGGACATGAATTTTTCTTAGAATCACTCTTTGTGTATTTCTGTACTCTTCTTCCATGTATGGAGACTGTTTGACATCTTTTTTGAGTTATGTGAACTGAACGGTGCACTTTTCCAGACATTAAAAATTGAACAAGCGTTTCTGGACAAGTGAGGGCGCTTTTGCTTTGATGTAAATCCAGGAATATGTGGCTCATGTTGCATGTTTTCATGTTCAAATTGTGAACCCCAAATTTGCTATCTGGGAACATTTCTTTGAAAAGGATTTTTGCTGGATTATTGCCATATACTTACACAGCAATAAATTGCCAAAGAAAATGAAATCTGCCATACCAGTGGTTAAAAAATTTAGAAATTTTCTGTGCACAGATCATATGACATCATAGTTCTGCTCATGAATATGCAAATATGCATTATCAGAAAAACCCAAAATATGGGTAAACATTGCAAAACAAACAATCTAAATAAGGTTGATTGAAACCAAAAGATGCAATTTCAAGGGTTTTTAGTAAAATTTATTAAAATATTTCTATTTCCTGGTTCCTTTAACCCTGCTGCTTTCTGCATCAGTGTAGGAGTTTGTTTATGACAGATGTGTAAGTAAAGAATGTTTGGAAACTATGATTTAGCACTAAGTTTGCATTGTTTATTTAGGCTATTTTATGCCCTTTATTCAAATGAAGTTGCTTTAGGTTATGCAGATGAGCAAAGTGTTTTTGAGGCATTTGAAAATTTGCACTTTGTCTTCAAAGTCCCCTACTCTTAAAACTATAAAATTGAGTCTCAAATGTAGTCAACTTGAAAAGAATCATCATTTGGGGAGGAATTTAACTTCAGTTTAATATTTTATTACTTAGCAGGAGCTTCACCGGAATACCTCCGTCATTTTCAGGGGTGTGTCACCCCTTCATTTTCTAAATGCTCCCAAGTTGCAGAATATTGGGCACTTGTTGAAATTAAATTCCTCCCACGTAATGTAAAAATTGCTGTTGAGATGAGTAACCTAGTGTGATCATTTTCGTATATTTAATGACGCCAATAAAACCATACCATTTTACAAATTCAGAACTGTACACGTGTATTTTGATTTATTTGGGAATGAAACTTATGCCTGACAATTGAAAAATTTAAATATGGAGCACTTTCCAAGTCATTTTAGGGCGTTGTCTTTGTTGGCTTTAAATGAGTCAATGTATAAGTAAATATTATTAATTATGTTATTATATTCATTATAAATTTACAACCAAATAAGGGGTAAAAAAACCTGAATTCACAACTATTTAAACACTGAAGACGAACTTGGACGGTCTCTAATCAAGAGAGGGCGCTGTTATCTATTGCCAAACCTCGCCCTCGCGGGGCCTTGACCTTTCGTCCAAAACGCATGCGCTTTACCATTCCAGGTGCCATCGAGTCTTCATTCCGACAGAGGAGTTGTGCTGGGAAAATAACAGCATTTTGCCAAATTGATGAGGATATATGTTCTTTTAGTCCAGGATTATTGAAGGGGACATTGCCGTTTTGGAAGGTCTGTTTTTGAAAGTATTTTTAAAGGTTTTGCAATTGACAAAATTTAGGTTTGAGTGTGAACGAAGTGCTGTCAAATTCGTGATTGGTGATAATGTCTGAACGTGTTCATCATTGTCATGATTCATCCGCGGAGCATGTGCAGAGTAGTTAACTGAATTCTGTAGACTGTACTGGAATTAGGCTTTAAGACCGCAAGCTTCATCTGTAGAACTATAAATGCATGGTAAACATTATTTCATTGAACATTTTTACTTCTTCCTGTCTTCGTTCTTGTTTTATCACACCCCATTTTGTTTGAACATCTGACAAATGTGAGCAGGTGAGCTCAGCAGTCAGTAGTCTGTTTTTTTGAACATGCATCATTGCATGAATTGAGAAGTTCTTTATCGGAAATAAGTCTCGGCCTACATAAGCCTTCATACATGACATACGACACAGCGAAAATGTTAAATTTCTGTTGGTCATGCCAGGATGGTATTTCAAGACATAAGTTCTTAATTACCATTTTATCTGCTAAAGCTTTATTTGTAGGCCTTTAAAAGTACATTAGCTTATTCAAAGATCAGGAAACGTGTAAAATTGTAATTTAAAAAAAAAAGAGCTCGGCACAGCCTAATGCTCACCAATTTTTCAAACTGGTGTTAGACTTTTCAACAAAATGTATCGATGATCTTCTAACTATGGACATTTTTTGAATACAGTTTGTAGGTTTCCTGTCGGTAAAATTGATACATGTAATGTACGTCTAATATTTATTGTCCAAAAATAGTAAGAACCCTTTTGTTTTCTGTTTTTTGTGTTAGACATTTTAAAAAAAAAATTTTTAATGAGGGGCCTGACTTACCCTCAGTGATGGCCCCGGTTACTGTCTGTGGATACCAACCACATGCAAGCATCCAGTCATCTTATGTGTACATGTACATGTAGGTTATGAATGTGGCCTGATCTCGGATCTAGACAATCAAGAACTCTCTCTCAACGGGAGGACTCATCCCCTCGGGAAACATTGTACATGTACTTGTACTTCCTTCCTTACTGTCCCCAAGAGTTCTTGGCATACATGCACTGTGCCTTCGTGCATTGCTGACAATGTACTGATACACAGTGCACATGAACATTGACAGTACATGTACATGTATGTGGCTGCTTTTACATTCATAAATGTACATACCTTTCATACATAATGTACATGTTCCGGTATGTGTATGCAGAATGTACCGGTACATGATACTTGATTAATTTCAGTCAAACTTCTGTGGTAGCAGGTTAAGACCATTCTTGCCGTGGGTTGTCAGAAGGAAGAGTTTACATATGCATGCCATGTGTAAATACACAAGATATTTCACCACCGTGTTAATTACAAGTGGGTGGGAGGCTTGCTGTACATTCACTTTTGAAGGTCAATGCAAGAGAAATCTGTATGTGTTTCCAGCATGCAGGCTGGCGTAATTTTTCTGGCCTAATTTTTTTATACGTGAAATATAATAAGCAGAGAGCAGGTGCAGTATTCTGGGAATAACATTACTGAGATTGTGGTAATTATGTTCACATCTGTTGCAGGCACTGCACTGGCTGACCTACATGTGTACATGTTATAAATTTGTATCAATTGAAGAGTGAGGCAACTTTCCCACGGTCAGAGCTCTCTCGTAAAATTTACAATGTAAATGTGGAACTTTTTCAGAGGTTCAGAGGGGAGAGAAGTAGATCTACATGTACCAGTACAGGCAAAAGAGAAATTACTTCTGTCACTTCCGGGAAGTTCCAGACCTTGATGTTGGAGCTTGCTTAAATCTCACCGTGAAAAGTGCTGTAGTTTGCAGTGTATGTATCACAGCTGTCAATTGCCATATGAAAGTCAACAGCTTGGCCAGTTTACTTTCTTTTTTTATCCTGAGGTGATCTCAAAAACTCATCTGAATCTGTTGGTATCTTTTGCACATTATCAAACAGACTGAGATAGTCAGTTGGCGTTCAAGATGACGGACGAAGACTTGCTGTTTGATGATGTCTACGAACTCTGTGAAATCATCGGAAAGTAAGTGCTCTCCCAAATTGCCTTTGGTTATTGCTTTCATTTTCGCTGTCTGATGAGAAACGGAAACTCTTCCTTGTGTTCATGTAATTCTGTGTTTACAATTCACCTGGTGTTATAATCGAGTGCTTGTATGTCTGTGGCAAGTCAGAGCAACTCATGAGAGAATACTGTTCTATCTACCTTGAGTTGAAGTACGCCCTCGTTGGCAAAGAAGAGACAGGCTGGTAGGACCTTTACGTTAGCACGTCTGACGTACCCGCATAGACTGTACCTTCTACCTACATGTATGAGCAGATATTCTTACTGATATCTCTGACATCAGAGAAATTTGACGTGCATGCTCAGCACGTCCCATGCAAAACTTGCACGAAACTGAGCACGCAAAGTAACTTCCCTGCAGATTGCCGAAGATTGTCATAAATGTAAAAACATTGCCCCTCGTGGAGTGGTATATTAATCTTAAATCTGTGGGCATGCTTTTTAATTGTCATGGAATGCTCTTCAGCAAGTCATTAGCCCACTCTCTAGAATTCAACAAAGACATCAAGCTGGAATATTGATTGGCCTGTAAAAATTCTCAACTGTCAAAGTGTTGCAAAACCAGGTGTCCAGTTTCATGGATTTTGGTGAGTTGGACTTGAAGGTGGATTACATAACAATACGTACATGTGGGTGTTGAGCCTGGACACAGAGTGGTCAGATTCAGCCGAGTGTTGACACGCTTGAGAATGCTCTACTGCTTTGCTGTGCATCAGTTTTCTTGTAGGACCAAATGTGTTATCATTTTTCAAGATCTCATGGGTAAATGCTCCTCAGTGTGCATGTGTGCCGCCTGCCCGGTACGCACTTTGGACCTTCATTCAGACAGATGTCCTTGTGATTGTCGGCCTCCTGGATAAATTTGTGCATGAGCCCATTAATGAGCCAGTGTCTGTTTGTCCAGGAAAGAAGTGATTTACATGTACAGTAGGTGTAAAAATGGATCTGTCAAAATGCTTCTACAAAGTTGTGATACATTGTGACATGCAGTACATGTGGCATTTCAGGATGTGTTAATGCTGGTACTCTGTACATGTTACATGTACTATATACATGCATGACTAATATTGCAGCGCATGGATTTTTGCCAAAATGCTCCGAGTGGCAGGGAAGTGTTTCTTAATTGGATCAGAGAGCAAGCCATGACCATTTGGTCTGATCGTCAGTTCATTTGTAATGGAGATGTAGCGTACATGTACCTTGTAAACTTAAGAGGCTCAAATTTTGGAAACTTTGATGGGATCAGAATGTGTACGGTAGTGTGCAGAATTTCCAGCTTAATACTCAAATACTCAAATACTCAAATTACTCAAATACTCAATACTCAAATTTTGGAAACTTTGATCGGATCAGAATGTGTGCGGTAGTGTGCAGAATTTCCAAATTAATACTCAATGGCCAATGTTGACTGAAAATATACATCTCCCCCCCGCTAATGAACTCACTGTATACATGTACATGTAATTAATTTGAAGGGTAATGCTGAAAAACAAAAGTGGTCCATGATGGCCATGTTAGGTACTTGCATACATGCATTGATGTTCCCAAACAATCGTGGACGTTCAACAAAAGAATTAATGACCGTCCACGATTCCCGATACGTCCACGATTGCTAAACATGTACAAAACATATTAGAGGCCTTCCAAAAAAGTTAAAGTATGAACAAAAGAGGACAATAGGAACGTCCACGATTGCCCAAAAAACACGTTTGTGTGTACATGTACGTGTACATGCACGGTACCGGATCATCTACTCTGACATGTGCTGGTACATGTACATATACTATGTACATATTCCTGTTGGTGATTCCATTATCACAGTAGTCAGCATTCGTAACTAAGGTACCGGTAATGTTCACAAATTCATTGAATATGTGTACATGTACTTTGTACTCAGGCATGGACTCAAATACCGGTGCAGAGTGTGCCCAGGTTGAAGAAGTCACGGTTGCCTGGTATATTTAGACAGCGTCAGGGTGTCAGTTTTCTTGATAGGATGGTCACATGCCGTGAAGCGTCTCTCATCAGCGCACTCCCCGGCAGCGCAAGGCTAGCTGCAGCTTTGTGATTTCTTCCCCACATGGCGTGGGGGGAGGGGGGAGGGGGGAGAGAAAGGGGCACAAGAAGCAGATGCTCGGCTGAGCATGTCCCCACATGCACCCCGTGTGATGGTGCACCTGTGTGCTATTCTGAACGGAGTAGTAAATCATGAAGGCACAGATTTGTGGGAGCATTTCAAGACGGTAAAAAAAAAAAAAACACGTCAGTGCGCCGGTAGGCAGTCTGGGTTCATTTTCGGTCAGCAGTAGAAACTGTTAGATGTGAGATACACGTGCATGTGTACGTGTACATGTGTGGATCTTCATCACAGCCATTATAATCATCAACGCTGGTGTGCCTGGATGACAAAATGGATTCAGATCTCTTCCTCTTTATTTCCTGCTCAGCTTTACGTTGTGTTGAAACAAATCAAGTTCTTCCCCCAAACCGCTAGCCACAGTGTGCAAACTGGAATTTACTTGAACCAGTTATGTACCGGCTACATGTGCACACGATTCCTGCACTGGAACACTGGATAACTGCTCATGTACATGTACTATACAGGTACTGCTGAACGTACAGGAGTTTTGAGTTTATCCCTAAAGCTATCCTTGAACCTGGAAAGAAGTGTTAGAGATTAGATCCCTTGAATGCAAGGGACCCCAGATGACCTGGTGGCCAACAATGGAATGTACACACGCCAATCAGTTGATATTTAATCCTCTTGGAAAAAAAATAAAGTACCCCCAGTTCGGTGGTTAATTTTTGTTCCCCAAGTCCTGGTAACACCAGTACTGCTGCTGCAGAGTGTAGTTTTCCAAAACTTTCTGGGGTGTGGTGCCACTGGCAGGCCTCTTATTGTTGTGAAGGGGGGGGTGGTTGATATCGCCCATGGGGAAGAGGTGTTGACAGTGGTGGGAGAGAAAATGAAGCCTTGATTGATGTAGCAAACTGAAAGGTTTAGGTACACGTACAAGTTACTATAACGGTGTTGAGAAAACATGCTGGTACTGTACATGTATGTACATGAGTAGTTATTCAATTATATACATGTACACAATGTACGTAATATGCAGATCTCATTTCATTTATTTGCCAGATAAAAGGACATACAAAAATACGCAAATTACATACAAGAGACACACCTACGGTAAAACATCGAAATACATTACATGAGAGATATAACTAATTGCCCAGTAACTAAAATACATGTACCAGAAAAACACCTCACCAGCCAGACTACTCTAGCAAACTATCAAGACAGCACAAAAACGCAACTACCAACCTTCAAGTGCAACACAGCAATATTCACACTGGGTACGTGTACACATTGCATATACTGGTACAGTGTACATGTACGTGTACACATTCATTAGTGCTGACACCAGACTACCGGTACATGTATTTGCATTTTGATCACTGTGTTCTGTAAATGTGAACATTTTGCACACTTGCATACAATTGAAGATGTTTACACGTACATGTATTTGCTGTGCAACTCTGCACGTATCCAATTCTGTATAATACCGGTATATGGTTGATTAGGCTACACAAAGAAGCGTGTTCTCTTCATGAAACATTAAACAGTATGGTTTAATATTGTAAAACTCTCCATGCATTTGATTTAGTTAGCCAGTTAATAAATGCAATTAAAAAAAAATTTTTTTTGTAGTTCCTTGCAACTGCCTGCTTAGCCACACTGGCACTTTCTCCTTTTTTTGGGGGGGGGGACAATTTATATGAGAGGGTTACTCTTACACAGTGTACTTTATGTACAATGTATAGTTACACTTTGGGGTCAAACTATTTCATTCAAAAATAGTGAATATCAACATGTATACATATTGTTTTGAGCACAGTAAGGTGATTAAATTTGTCAGTTTTCCCGCGTGATCTGGTTCTGCTAGAGCAAATATGACAGGGTTTTTGTGGCAAATTCATTGACATTTTCGGTAATGGGATTATACACATCCAGCTGTAAGTCTGTGACTCTCGGCCCCCACGTGGAATGTAATAACAGCAAGCTAATGCTATCTGAGGCGACTAAAAATACACCGGGTTTATCCCGAGCTCTAATGCTCTGGGAACGGAGGAGGCGAGAGGGTTGATAGATGTGCATAATGCTATGATAACTACCCGAGCAATTATAGGCAAGTACATGTACATGTACTTGTTTAAAGGTGCACTGTGCTGTAAGCTGGACTGTGGAAAACTTTCCCTATTACTCAAAACTCCACTGTGTTTGGTGCAACTTTGACGGTGAACCGGACGCAATGCAAATTAATTGGTGCCTGGTCTCTCCGTGCCTTGCTCAGTCTGGCAAAAACCTGCGGGATGGACGGGCTCGTTTAGAAAATTATGCATAATTTATTCCTTGACTGGATGGGGAGATAATAAATTAAGCAATTTCACAACCTTCTAACGATCGGACTCTGCACTGCACCGATATCTGACAGTGACTCAGAAGTACATTACGTGTACCGGTAGTTGGCCATTGTTGTTGATCAGGCTTGTGTGTCAATTCTTTCATGAAACATAAGCCATGCAAGACTTGTAATCTGCATCTGTTAATGTTAATTTAAAATGGCATGAATATTGGTCCTTGGTCGCACCAGTGATGTTCAGTTAAGATTGTACTCATGTACGCGTAATTTAATTAATTGGTTTACAAATGCACTGTAGTAGTGCTCTTATGGTACAGAAAAACTATGTTAGTACTGGAAATGCATGTTGTGAAGGGGTAAACATGCATTCTTGAATTGTGTGAAGCCCCTTCCAATTGGCCCAGTTTTAACCCAGGCTTAAACAAGAAGTTTGTCTCCAGCAACCGCGAGGATGTAACTCGGCATTACCGTGGCAACACTCACTCGTACTGTACACTGTCCATGTAGTGCACCGACTCTGAAACGAGAGAGATCATG